ACTGTACTGTCTTCAGACACACCAGAAGAGGGCATCAGATCCCATTAGAGATGGTTGTGAGCCACCATGTGGTTGCTGGGAATTGAACTCAGGACCCTCTGGGAGAGCCGTCAGTGCTCTTAACCACTGAGCCATCTTCTCCGGCCCCCACTCATTTAATTCTTATCATACTCCCGCAAGGCAAACAAAGCAGCTACCATCTTTATTTCTATTTTACAGACAAGAAAACTATCTTATTTCTCATAAACTAATTGAATGTAGCACATGACACACAGGATGTACCAATTCAGAATGAGTCTTGGCTGCAGGCTCCTTTTACTACTTAGTCCTAGACTACCTCTACTCTACCTCTCTAAAATACAAGCAATGATCAGAGGTGGGCATGGCTAGAAACATAGGGAACAACAGAACAGAAACCCATTTATGCTGACCACTCACTGATGAACAAAACAAAGACCTTATTCTCATTCATCAAAATCCAAGAATTACACTGGTACTAAAAACTAAGAACAAATTACTTCAGGCTCATAGCCACAGGCAATAGTAAACAATTCTGCCTAGAGACTCCAAAGTGCTTTAACCAAGGCTCTAAACAAGTATATTACCTAATGAAAGAAAGTGAAAAAAAGTATGGGCAAAATGTGTTTTGAAGTCGGCAGTTTCATCTTGAGACTGGAGACAGTATGGTAGGTGCAGGGAGCAGATGGCGTGTGAGTGAACATGAACTACAAGAGTTTGGGCAGCAACACATAAAGGATTCTGAGCCTCACACATCCGCTATGTAAAGCAGTGGGAAGCTTTAAAGGAACGCACTGTCTTATCATCATGAATTCTATTCCTTGTTAGGAGGCATGTGGGGAAATTCAATGGGATTAGCTAAAAAAAACAGGAAGGCATTTACCAAAGAAACCTGTTATCGATCAAAATTTTATGAGTTAGGATACTGTGGTAATGTATGCCTTTAATGCCAGCACCTGATAGATCTCTGTGAGTTCAAGGCTAGCCTAGTCTACACAGAAAGTTCCAGGACAGCCAGAGCTACACGGTAAGACCTCCATTTAAAAAAAAAAAAAAAAAAGAAAAAGAAAAGTTTTGCTATATAAATATATACAAAGATGGTAAATAAAGTCATGAAATTTCCAAGGAAATTCATATAGAGTAAAAGGAAAAGGCTGCTATTTCTGTGAAAAAAGCCATTATTTAAGTGGCAAAGAAAAGGCAAATGGAAGACATAGTAATCAATGCTAAGAGATCAAATGTACTAAGATATGATCCAGAAAACTTGTATCACCACCTCTTTTTTTTATTTTTTTTTGTTTTTTTGTTGTTTTTTTTTGTTTTTGTTTTTTTGAGACAGGTTTTCTCTGTGTAGCCCTGGCTGTCCTGGAACTCACTCTGTAGAGCAGGTTGGCCTCAAACTCAAAAATCCACCTGCCTCTGCCTCCCAAGTGCTGGGATTAAAGGCGTGCACCACTACTGCCCGGCTTTTTTTGATTTTTTGATATAGAGTTCTTTGTGTAGCGCTGGAACTTGCTTTGTAGATCAGGCTGGCCAAGAATTCACAGAGATCTGCCCACTTCTGCCTCTTGGTTGCTGAGATTAAAGGCATGGGCCACCATCACCTGGCCAGACACCACCACTACCTGGCCAGACACCACTACTTTTTATTTTATTCAAGACATTAAGTAAAATTCATTTATCCACCTTTCTTTTCCTCACTGAAATATTAGGTCTATAGGAATTTGGACCTTCTGGGTCTTGTTTACTACTGTCCTTACAGAATGTAGAAATAGTGTTGATAGGTACTCCACAAACACCACACTACAAAACTCAAGGGAAAATATATAATGATCATTACAGTTACACTAGTGGCAACAGAGTTAAAAGACAGATAAAAATATATTGAGGCAAAATCATCAGAGTTTAGTGACTTAATCAAAAATTGAGAAGAAAGTTTCAAAAATTACTAGTTTCTTATTCCAAAGTCATTTCTCTTTCCCCATTTAAAATGTTCCCATCTCCATGAGCTGTCACAAACAGTTGATACATAGTTATTTGAATATTTAGGCTATCAGAAGTTATAAATAAATATTGGTATGTATTCTACACAGCATCTACAAGCAAAACATCCAGGCTACACAGAGGCCCCTTTTAACTAAGCAAAACTGTATGAAGTCGCCTGAAGTTTTTCCTATCAAATGCTTCCAAGGGTGTTTTGCCTATGTGCACGTCTGTGTTTGGATCCTCTGGAACTGAAGTTACAGACAGTTGTCAGCCACCACGCGGGTGCTAAGAATAAAGTCAGGGATCCTTTGAAGAGGAGCCAGTGCTTATTCTTAGCTGTTGAATGAGCAGTCTTCCCCCTCAATGAGCATTTTGTAACTCTGATTTTGTAATTGTATTACTAGCATGAACTTGAAACAATACTATTTCTCATCATTTCAGTTACCTAACAACATCCACTACACAATATTCTGGACATATCTGAACCTCTCTACATGTAGCCAAATTTGATAACTAGTGATTGGTCAAAAGGCACAAGACAAATAATGTAAGTTAATGAAACGGGCTTTATGTTCCTCCATCTCATCTACACTTTTACTTAGGATTTCTCTTGCATATATGTCTATGTACTACCATGTATGCTCCCGGAGTGATGGAGGCCAAAAGAGGTTATCAGATCCTCTAGGATTGAGGTTACAAATTCATTGTGTGCTACCTTGTGCTGATACTTGAACCCGAGACCCTTGGAAGGTCAAGCAGTGCTCTAAACACTGAACCATCTCTCTACCCCTTAAGTTATTAAAGAGACAACTGTCACCAAAACATGTTCACCTTGCTTGCAGGCAGAGCTTAGCCTTTTCTTCCCATCGTTCAGAGACTGTGAGGAGCTCCTGTAGTTCAGCCATTGCTTTTTCCACAGCATGGTGAGGTGCCAAGCCTACCCCAGAGTCAATCAATTTCTTCATGACATCCAACGTGACTTGTTGTGGATCTGATAGAGTTAGTCTTACTTCATCTAGCCACCGAGCCTGCTGTAGCTCTTGCTTTAGTTGGGGCAATTCAGGTAGCTCCACATAGAGACTAGAGCCCATGTCTATTAATGTTTGGAGTTTGGAAGAATCTGGGGTTTCATCCATCATTGCCTCCTGGGCACGTTCATGAAATTCTTCTACATCATCCAGCAGATTCTGAAAAGGTAAAAAATAAAACAAAAATAAACAGCAGATTTTGTTTGACAATACATCTAGTTATAGAGTATTTGCCTAGTATGTACAAAGGCCTTGGGTTTGATCCCCAATTTTCAACATTATGACTAAAAAAATAAAAGAGCAAATGCTATAAATAGTTCAGGATTAATGTTAATTCTAGGTCCTCCTACAGTCTCACCAGACTAGCACAAGATATTTACACATCTGAAAACCTTAGTATGTTACCTGGTAACTAATTTCTTTCTACACTACTCTTTAAAAGGATTACTTACATACATGAGTATTCTACCTACATGTGCATATGTGCACTACATGTACGTATGGGTGCCTGGTGCCCTGAAAGGGCAGAAGAAGGTTTCAGAGCCCCTGGAAATGGAGTTAAGAATGGTCATAAACAACCATGTAGGGGCTGGGATCCACGCCTGGGTCCTCAGGAAGAGCAAGCAGTACTCTGTACTATTGAGCCACCTCACCAGCTTCCACGTCTTTAATTAAAATATGGCTAAATCAATAAAACATGTCTTCTTATGGCAATGAAAGTATGACTGATTCATTTAATAGATATTAGAAGCTGACTAACTTAGACACAGGCATTTCTATAGCATATAGTATAGAACAAGATGGTTTCTTTAAAGGTTTTTTTTTTAAGTCTTTTGCAATCAAAGAATCAGCTTATGTCTTTTGTTCTGCTTTTTTTTTTCTTTCTTTCTTGGAGACGGGGAGAGGGGAATGTGCCAAAGTCAGAAGACAACTTGTGGAAGGTAGTTTGCAGCATAGATTACGTAGGCATCAGGAATGGCACTCATTTGGCCTGGTGGTGAGTATCTCCACCCACTGAGCCACCTTGATAGACTCCATGCATTCTGATATAGATAGTAGTAAATATGTAAATAAACCTGTTTCAATTAGTGTTACACATCCTAAACGTAAAACAGGACAACCTAACCAAAGGTAAAAAAAGGCATATTAGTCAGCATAAGTAGTAACCATATGAAAGTGAACCAGAACTAAAACAAAGAATTAGGGAGACGGCTCAGTAGATAAAATGCTTGCTGTATAAATGTGAGGATCCACACAAAGATGAGGCAGAAATGGTGGCCTGCTTGTAATCTCAGGAATTGTAGCCATAGAAAGAGAAGCTCTAGGACAAGTTGGCTGGCTGGACTGACGAGCTAAACAGGTGAGCTCCACGTTCAGCAAGATACCCTGCCTCAGTAAATAAAGTTGAAAGAGACCCCATCTCATTAAGAAGAGAATGGTTGAAAAAGACACCACTGGCCTTCACATACACATGCACCTGTATAAATGTGTTCACATATGAACATACATATGTAAGTGCATACATACCATACATACGGGAGGGAGGGAGGGAGGGAGGGAAGGAGAGGGAAAGTAAAGATTAAATGAAGAGGTGGAATGGGAATGTAGTAGAAAATGTTCAAGCCTGGCAAACATTAATCAGTGCCCCACACTTTGTTTTGAGGCAGGTTTTCATGTATTCTAGGCTGACCTCGAACTCACTATGTAGCTAAATATGACCTTGAACTTCTGATCCTATTGTTTATGTCTTCAGCACCAGGATTATAGATGTTAATTGCCATAGTGGTTTTTGTTTTTTATTAATCAGATATTGGAGACCAGGGTTTCTGGCATGGTATATATGCATTCTACTAACTGAAGTACATACAGTCCCAGAGCCACTAAACACATGATTGTCAGAGACGCTTGAGCTCAGTATGCTGCTACAGTGAGTAAAGGACAAGTAGCAAATCTAAATAAGCAGAAGAAAGATGAGGTAATGTCTTACAGATTACATCAAGTTAAGATTTCATTTGAGCCGGGTGGTGGTGGCACACACCTTTAAAGCCAACACCCAGGAGGCAGAGGCAGGCAAATCTCTGAGTTAGAGGCCGGCCTGATCTACAGAGCTAGTTCCTGAACAGCTAGGACTGTACAGAAAAACCCTGACTCCAAAATAAAACAAAACAAAAAATGATTTCATTTGATAACTCTGGCGATCCAGAAGAAAATTTTAATCATAGAAAAGGAATCTAATTTGATTTATATTTAAGATGAGTAAAAAGGAAAAGAGAAAAGCAGTTAAGTAAGAGGTATTGCAGAGAGACCAGAGAGATGGTTCAGTTGCTAAGTGCACTGACTGGCTGTTTTTCCAGAGGACCCAAGATTGGATTCCAACACACAAAGAGAAATTTACAATCATCTCTAACTCCAGTTTCAAAGAATCAGATGTCCTCTTTTAGACTCCTTGGGCACTATGCACGCAAGTGGTCTACAGACATACATACAGACAAAACACCATACACATAAAACCACATGCTTGCACACACACAAAGATGTGGCACAGGGAAAACCTTAACAGAAATAAGAGGTTTACTGTGGAATATAGTTTGAAGCTACTGATGAAAGATACACTGGAAACAAAGGAAACAAGTATTCTGATTCATCAGAAGGCCTTTACCATGCTTTTTAGTCTGTCTACAGAAATAAAGAGCATGCATCAGAACATAGGGTCTGTAGAAAGGAAAACAGGAAAAAAAAATCTCAGAGCTACAGATTTTACAGGTGATACTTATTGAAACCAGACAAATAAGAAGGTATCAGGAAAGGGCACACCTAAAGAAAGGGGTATATTTGCTGATATATTCTAATACTTGTTAATCAAGCTAAGAACAATAAATAAATAAATAAATATTTTTTAAAGGGGAGAAAAAGCAGAAAAGAGGTACTAATTGGATCTTAAGCACCCTTAGAAGAAAACTGTTCCTAAAATAGGCAGCTAACAAAGTGCAATACAACAAGAATGTAACCTATACTAAGATATTGCAAACTGATGAGTTAATAAAAAAAAAAAGCTATCAAAATTACTAACTATGCAGAATAACTACTTGACACAGACCTTTGCCAGGTTTTGTTTTGTTTTGCTTTAAAGGCATGTGCCACCACTGTCTGGCCACCTTTAAGATTGTTCTATGATCATTAAATAATAACAGTCCTAGAAATGTCAGAGCCCTGATTTTAAACGATCATGAATATTATAACTTACCATTATACTCTTGGTTCTTTTTAGGAACACTGCAGTTAAAATACATTTGTGTTAGATGGAATTTTTACTCAAAATTAGCATAGAGAAGAATAATTCTGAAGTACTCATACATAGCTTAGGATTTTTAAATGGAATAAAGACCAAGGGGCTGGAGAAATGATGGTTTAGTGGTTAAGAGCACCAGCACTGGCTGCCCTTCCAGAGGACCCAAGTGTGATTCCTAGTACCTACATGGTAGAGAAAATGACCTGTAACTGCAGTTCCAGAGGATCCGATGCTCTCTCCTGGCCTCCATGAGCACTGTACATACATGGTGCACAGACATACACACAGGCAAAACAACTTAAAAAAAAAAAAAAAAAGCCGAGAGACTGCCTTGTCTTTCTAAAGGTAGTCTATCTACATCTCAAATCATAACATCTAAATCTCGTATCTCATATATATGCTATCTAAGATTCCTTACATAGGAACACACAGAACCTAACACTAGTCTATACATACAATTCTAATTTGGAACAGAAGCTCATGAACAAAACAAAAAACAATGTTTCACCTTTACTTGTCGAGTTTGGCTGATGACACACGGAAGACTAACAAGTTGTTGGACAAAGGCCTTCAATTCTTCTACTGTCAGTTTGGTCCGAGTCTTCCCACTATCTGAGCTCTGCCTGATATGAAATAATATTGAGACACAGAAAAATACAGTCAATCTGATATCAAATGGGGCTCCTACTTTCCTATGAATTAAACCCTTAGTAATCCTAGAATTCTAGTGTTGAATAATTCCCCCCCAGATAATTATCAAGAAATAGTAACAGTCCTTCTAATCTATAATTACTATATGTTTGAAACATTAAATTGATTCCCATGGTAGAACATGAAGCCCACCGAGAAAATGAAATCCTTGTGTCTTAAAGAGGCTCATATTGAGAACATAGGGGTTTGACCTGCTTTAGACTATTGAACTCCCTAAAATACATCACAAAAATCTGTTTTATTTAACTATAGCTATTCTTATTTTCTGTGTATAGATGTTTTGCTTGCACATATGTGTATCACATGAGTACAGTGCTCAAAAAGGACAGAGGGCATCAGATCTCTTGGAACTGAAGCCATGGGGGTGCTAGGAACTGAACCTGGGTCTTCTGGAAAAACAGCCAGTGCTCTTAACCATGGAGCCATTTCTTCATTCCCGAAAATCTTTTACATGTATACTTATTTTAAAACATGTCTGAGCTCTGCCTGATATGAAATAATACTGAGACATAGAAAAATATGGTCAAGCTTTCCTAAAAGCAAGTTAATGTCCACTGGAAAATGTCTCTAGCAAAGGTTCTCTGATTAGATTTAAAAAATAAAAACTTAAAATCCAATGTAAAGGACTACAGAAATAGCCACATAGATAGAAGAAATGTATTGAGTAACTATAAAATATCACAGAAAATGTTTATAAAGTAGGAAGGACAGAAAGAAAAAGAAGTAAACAAGCTGTCTAAGATATGGCAGGAAGTAAACTCCAAGCTGAATGAAAAGCAAATGCAAACACTAAACAAGAGCATACCATGTATGTAGGAATAACAGCAAGTCAAAGAGTGTTTCAGAATGGAACAAGAGTTTATTGAAGAAAAGAAAAATGTGAAATTAGAAATATAACTTCTCCTTAAAAAGTAAATCAGTTCTAACAAAAGGAAGAAAATAAAGCTAATCACCTGAACTCAAAATATTTTATTCATACTGAAATATTTTGTTATTAAGTATCTTGATCCATGCTGTTAAGAGACCTCTATTTTCTGAATGCTGTGGTGCATGCCTTTAATCTCACTACTAGGGAGGTAAAGGCAAGTGGATCTCTGTGAATTTGAGCCTATGTGTTAAGTATTTTGTTACTTCAGATAAAGTTGAATATACAGCTATGTCTTTGTCCCAAAGATTCTACATAAACTTTAGTATTATTTTGAGCATTGAAATTAGCAGGCCTTTTGCTGTTTTCTTAGTGTAGTTTCCAACTAGCTTAAATTTAAAGAACTTCTGATAATTTATGAACATGAAGAAAGGGAAGGAATGGAAAAGAATGGAAGTTACTAGAGATGGAAGAAACATAGCCTGGAGCAAAATAGAACACAGGGCCTCACAGGCTAATTAAAGCGGAAAAAAATAGGAATCCAGAGGCGAATTCCATTCTTCTTGGTTTACCTGTGTTTTTGCTTTTTGCTCAGAAGCAGCTGAGCCACAGAACCACAGGTCTCAGCTTCTTTCACTGCATCCCTGAGCTTTCGAAAGAGATCATTCTCTGGGTATTTCCTATCCTCAGCATCCTCCAGCATTACTCTCAATTCAATCAAATCTGTAAAGATAAATATGATAATAGACACAAAAAAGCCATTCTACAGTGGTCATAGAGCTCACTCAAAAGTCACTAACGTGCTAGTAGAAACAACGAGGCTTTGAAAGTCCCCAGATGCTTGTTCCCAATGGGTGACTTCATTCAAATAAGGTAGGTCTCATCTGTCTCCTAAGCCCTATTCTCTCCCTCCCTTTCCCCTTTCCTAATTTGTCTCTATTGAAAACAATCAAAAGTCTTTCAGTGTCATTAAACTAAATTTGGATCTCTAAAAAATGCCTACTACAACTTATCTGTCCCATTTTAAGCCAGCCTTATCATTTAAAACAGATTCTCATTAGGTGTGGTGGCAGTGTCATATAATCTCAGCACTGGCATCAAGGAAAGAAAGGTCATGAGACTGAGGCCAGTCAGAGCAACAAAGCACATTCTGGGTCACAGCAGATAATCTTAAAACTAGGCATAGCCTACAGCCATACCTGCTACTTAATCTGAGAAATTAAGTTATACCAGCTCTGTTAAGTACATGGATAAGAGAAAACTAAGTGAATATTCAACTCTGTCATTATAAGCTAGGATTTCCACTTGTTAATGGAAAATAAAAGCACACAATTAAAGGTTTTTTAAAGTGACAGTTCTTCATAATAAAGAAGGAAACTTAACCTTTCTTATGGTTGAAGCTAGCTGACAATGCTTCTGTAACACGATTCACCCAAGTGTCATAGGACTGTGCTCTCACTTTGACACCATAAAGCAGAGATGGGAGGTCTTCTAGTGGGTATCGGTACCTACAAAAAAAAAAAAGTGTGTAAAAAAAAAAAAAATCAAAAAAACATAGAAGTAAAAGCTTCAAAATACAACAACCTGAAAATAAGGGAAAAAAAAAAAAGAAATCAAAGAAACTCCTGATTTCAGTGGAGAGACAGAGAGAAAGAGAGAGATGGGGGTGGAGGGGGGGGGGGCATACAGACAGCATAGAAACTCATGACATTAACTGGCCATGAAACTAATTATAGTTAGGCTGGTTAGGGCTAATTTTAAAGGAAATTTAAATTTGGGAAGTGGATAGTCAATGAAATGTTATTTGTTTAGGAACAGAAAAGAAAGCAAAGAACAACATTAAGGTGGTTTCTTAACAGATAACAAGAGACTGCTCTTATACCAACACTCAGGAGACAAAGGCAGAAGGATCTCTGTGAGTTCAAGGCCAGCCTGATCTACCATAGTGAGCTCTAGGCTAGCCAAAACTACACAGAGAGACCTTATCTCCAAAAAAAAAAAAAAGTGCAGTAACTTTTAAATAAATACCTAAGACATTTGTTCTGCATGGGGCAGGAGCACAAATCAGTTGGATGGTACAGACATACAAGTCGCTCCGGATTACAAGAACATGTGAGAGCTGAGAGAAAACATGTGGTTCTGCACGCCGAACACTGCCGCTCATCATCAGGAACAAGTTCAAAGACTTCTTCTTCTGACATCACAACACCCTAGAATATAATTTGTATTATCAGATCAGGTCTCAACTGAAAATAAAACAGCTTTAAAAAAATTAAAAATTAGGCACTCTTTTAATCTCAGTACTCAGAAGATAGAAGATGAATCTCACTGAATTTCAGAGCAGCCAGGACTACATAGTGAGACTTTAAAAAAAAAACAAACCATAGTGTCTTTAGAAAAACAAACCCAAACCAAGATATACAATTCTACCAATACAAACTACTCAAAAGATTATGAAAGATCAAAAATTAAACCCTAAAACAACTAGCATTTGAAAAAATAAGAGAGAAGACAGAGTAGTCCAATCTGACAATCTGGAATCACATAACTTAGATGAAAAACAAAACAAAATAGATTTAATTTCTTATTTAAAATAATTAATATTAGAGGGCCAGCTAGATGGCTCAGTAGGTAGAGTTGCTTGCATGAAGGAATGACTCATTGAATTCAATGTCCAGATTCCATTAAGGCAGCAAGAGAAGACCAATTTCTGAGTTCTCTGACTTCAACATGCACCACTGAAATAGATTACATTCACACACATATACATATAAAATAAAATAAGTAAAAATTCACTAATATTAGAGCTAGGTGACTCACATCTGTAATCTTAGAAAGGCCAAGGCAAGAGGATTGCCAGGACTGTCACAGCTTCAAGGCCACTCTGGGCCTGATAGTTAGTTCTAGACCAGCCTGAGCTACAGAGTAAGAATCTGTCTTTAACAAAAAAGGAGGAGGAGGAGGAGGAAGAGGAAGAAGAAGGAGAGAAAGAAGAGAAGGAAGAAGAGAAAGAGGAGGAGGACTTACTGCTCTCAAAGAGGACCTAGGTTCAGTTCCTATCATCCACATGGTAGCTCACAAATGTCTTTGGCCTCTGTGGTATCAGGCAAACATACAATGCAAAAGCAAAACACAGATACACACATAGAGATGCACACCACCCCCCTCCAAAATTAAATCAAATCTTACCCTCATCAGAATGGTCAAGATCAAAAAATTGGAGCTGGAGAGATGGCCCAGTGGTTAAGAGCACTGACTGTTCTTCCAGAGGACCCAGATTCAGTTTCCAGCACCCACATTGCTCACAACTATTTGTAACTATGGTTCTAAGGGACATGCACGCATGTGGTGCATATACACACACATGCAGGCAAACACTCATATATATTAGAAACAAAAAACAACTGACCACAAACACTGACAAGGATATGGGGAAAGAAGAACCCTCAATTTACAGCTGGTGGGACTGCAGAGTCCAGACATTCTGGAAGTCAGTTGGAGAATTCTTAAAAAGCTGAAAATAAATCTCCTTATGACCCATCATTATTTGGCATATGCCCAAAGGACTGAACATTCTTTTTTTATATGGAGATCGGATTTTTTTTGGTTTTTCAAGACAAGGTTTCTCTGTGTAGTCCTGGCTGTCCTGGAACTCACTCTGTAGACCAGGCTGGCCTTGAACTCAGAAATCCGCCTGCTTCTGCCTCCCAAGTGCTGGGATTAAAGGCGTGCACCACTACCACCCAGCTTGGACTGAACATTCTTTTCCTCAGTAATTTGCTCACCTATGTTTATTGCTGCTCTAGTCACATTACCTAGGAAATAGTAACAACCTAAATATCCTTCAACTGATGAATGGATAATGAAAATGTTCATATATACACAATGGAATACTATTCAGTTGTAAGAAAAACGGAATCATAAAATTTGCAGGTAAATTAAAAGAACTAGAAAGCATTACACTGAATGAGGTAACCCAGACTCAGAAAGACAAACACTGCAAGATCTCTCTTATTTGTGGTCCCTGGCTCCGAATCTTCAAATGTAAGTATATAACCTGAACTAACCACAGAAACCAGCAAAGTACAGTTGGATCACAGAGGGTGATGATAGTGTGGGAACAACTCTAGAGAATAGCAGTACAGGTGCCATGAGGAGCAAAACGGGAGACATGGGAAAAAAACAGAGACAATACTGGAGCAGAAGAGGGATAAGTAACACTAAGGCTATTTGTAAAAGCCATAGAGAATCAAACTGTTTATAATATACATAAATGTACACACACAGTTTAAATAAAGTTACATGACCCTTGGAGTGATAATGTTCCCCCTAAGTGCCACACTTCTAATAAGAAACCCAGTACTAGACATGAAAAAGAGTTGCTGGTCAAGTAAGTCTATGTGACTCTCAAAAGAAAATAGGCTAATGTCCTTGCTTGCCTCCAAGAAGTTGAAGGTAAGTCCCTATTGCTGAAGATGCCATACACTTTAGAAAGAGGACTAAAAGGAATCAAGTGTGATCTATCTAAGAAGCCTTCCCCCTGAGGCCTAACTTTCATGGTACCAGAAGGATTTACACAGGCTGTCAAAGGAGAAAAGCAATCAACAGTCCTACCCAGCTGTGACACTTACGAAGCACAATGATCAACAAAGCAGGTATCACCGAAGGTTCAATAGTGGTACTTATATCCTGACAGTAACTAACAGCTGCCTAATTGAACTTAAAGCCTGTTCACTAGGAGGGAATTAAAGCCTTGTAAACCTTGCCAACTGCCTTAAAAGGATCTATTACTTTCCTAAACCAGGATAATTTCTAGCTGCATTCTAAATACTTAGCTTTATATCCACAGACTAAATGTAGCTTCCACTCCTCATCAAAGAAGTTTCTTTTTGGCAGAGACCATTATTAAAGTCATTAATTAGACAAAATGGAGACAACAGTTGACTGTGGGTTGTTCAGACCTAATAAACTCTACACCTAAGAGATCAGAAAACAACATGGAAGAGGGGCAAGGAAAGGAAGATAACCAGAGTATCTTCTGTGCCTTCTAAATATGACAGAGAAGCTGCAGTCACGATAACCTATACAAGACCTGAACAATAACACCACCAGATGATATACCAACATAGAAGGGGCAATCTCACAAAGTCCTACTCCTAGGTGACTGCTAATGACTGTTTAGAGAGGGACAATCAGTCTTCCCAGAAATGAGTTCTCTAATTGGTTATCTAATACTAACTAGTCAGCCCCAAAACCATGTAAATACAAGCAACTCTAAATACACTCAGCAGGTTGTATTTATACATATGTAACAATAATAATTAAAGAAAGCCGGACAGTAGTGGCGCACGCCTTTAATCCCAGCACTTGGATTTCGGAGTTCGAGGCCAGCCTGGTCTATAGAGTGGGTTCCAGGACAGCCGGGGCTACACAGAGAAACCCTGTCTCGAAAAACCAAAAAAAAAAGAAAAAGAGGCCATGAACTTGAGGCAGGTGGTGGTGGTGGAGCTATAGGAGGAGTTAAAAGGAGGAACAGGTAATAAAGGAAATACAGTTCCTATATATAAAATTCCTAAGGAAAAACAAAACAAACCACAACGACTTTTTAAAAGAAGGAAGAAAGAATCTACTCAGCATACTCACCATCTGAACAACTGATTCCCTTAATCGTGTTTCTTCTTCAGTCATGAGAGTCAACTCTTTGCATACCATGGCAGCCAGACCCACATCTAAACATTCTGGGTCTGCTGCCATCTTAAAAATGAGTTCCTCATGTGAAAAGACACAATGGCGCCTCAGCCGTCGATAGTGATTTACACACTGACGTCCAATGGGCAACTGAAAACAACAGATTTCAGAATTAAATTATATGTCCTAACACAGGCTTTAATTTACTTTCAGGTACTCATTTTTATTATAAAGAAGATAAATCCCATCTGAACAAAAGACATAACATTAACTGTAATTCTTTGTAAGCCAGCTAAAATTTCACAGGTTTTTCCACAGACAATGTCTATAAACTGAGATGCTAAGTTTCTGCCCTAAGCTGCCAATTTTTGAACTCACTGTGTACTGGAAGAAACTAAAGAGACTCAGGTCTAGTAATGCAGGTCTTTAATCCCAGCACTCAGGAGGTAGAGGCAGGAAGATCTCTGAGTTTGATACCAGCCTCTTCTACATAGAGAGACTGTTCTGTTTTGGGGTGTGGGGAACAAACCAAACCAAACAAAAAAACTGAAGAGAAGAACAGAGTGGCACAAAGTTATAATTCCACCATTTGGAAAGTGGAAGTATAAACATCATGAGTTCAAAGCCATCCTTTGCTCATTTGAGCTAAGTTCAGGGCAGATAAGACGAGAGAGAAGGAGAGGGGGAGGGGGAGGGGGAGGGGGAGGGGGAGAGGGAGAGGGAGAGGGAGAGGGAGAGGGAGAGGGAGAGGGAGAAAGAAATAGTGAAGTATCTTGAAGTTATATGAGATAGCAAACACTGAAACCAGTCTAACACAGGGCTACCCTTAAATGCAAAGAAAAAATATTACAAAAAATTTTAAAGTTCAAGCTAAAATATTAAGTGGAAGTATTCAAAACTTAAGATTCCACAAAACAAGAAAAGTATTATCAGAAAAGGAAAAAATGAAAAAGAAAAAAAAATTACTTATTTATTTAAGCAATTTACATAATCTGATTTGTCACTTTTTAAAAATAAGAACCACAGCAATGATTGATTTAGATTCTAGCCTCTAGAAATTCTTTTAGTAACAACCAGCCTTGCAGAAAGAGATTTCAAAACTGTGAAATCACTAAATAATACACTTTATTTTCTCTAACAGTAAAAGCTATACAGGCTATAAATGACCACTTTTCAAAAATCAACAGATATACTCTGTAGTTGGAGATGTAGTTCATTGGTACCGCATGCCTTAGAAAGCACAAGGCCCTGGGTTAGACACACATCACCAAAAAATAAAAAGCCAAATACAAAGTCTCCTTAAGATGATGTCTGAAAATTTCTATAGCCAGTTTGTAAACCAAATTATGATATAAACTACACACACTCTCATTTCATCTTTCCTATGCTCAGCAGAAAAATTATGGTGGCTAGAGCTCGTATTTAAAAACGTATAACACAAAGAAACAAAAAAAAAGGAATCAGAGAGGAATCAGACTCACAGAGTGTATGAGACAGTTATCTGAACCAAGCAGTGTTATTATACTCAATAAATGAAACCAGGAAAACATATTTTGAACTTGTGGCTATAACTGTCCAGTAATGGCATACAACTCCTTTGCATCTTAACCTATACCCCTTCAGGGTTTCTGACACAGTGTCTTACACTGTAGTCCAGCCTGACCTCAAACTCACAGGAATTCTTGTACCTCAACCTACCAAGTGCTAGGATGAGACACTAGGCCTCACTCATATTTTATTCTTAAACATTAACTCTTTAAGCATTCCTTACATAGCTACAATAAAAAGTAGACCCAAACTGGTTTGTTTGTGGGCTTTGTTTTTTTTTTTTTCAGTCCTCAATGATAATAACATATGAGGAAGCCAGAACTGATAGTTATTGCAACCACAACCTTCACCTTAAAAGAATGAACAACTCTCAACTATTAACATTTAAGTTAAGAAGATTGCTGGAACAGAGAGATGGCTCAGTGGGTAAGAGCACTGGTTCTTCCAGAGGTCCTGAGTTCAATTCCCAGCAGCCACACTGTGACTCTTAACCTTCTATAATTAGATCTGAAGCTCTCTTCTGTCATGCAGATATACAGAAAGACAGAATACTAATATGAATAAATAATCTTAGCCGGGCGGTGGTGGCGCATGCCTTTAATCCCAGCACTTGGGAGGTAGAGGCAGGCAGATTTCCGAGTTCAAGAGTTCGAGGCTAGCCTGGTCTACAGAGTGAGTTCCAGGACAGCCAGGGCTACACAGAGAAACCCTGTCTCGAAAAACAAATCCAAAAAAAAAAAAAAAAAAAAAAAAACAACCAAAAAACAACAACAACAAAAAAAACATTTAAGTTGTTTAAAGTTGGGTAAGTCAAGCTATTAGTCTCTTGACACATGAGGTGAAACTTAGGCCTTTGGGCTGATGAGATGGACCAGGAGGTAAAGGCACTTTGCTGCCAAGTTCGATAATCTGAATTCAACCCCTGGGACCCACGTGGTAGAAGAAGAACCAGTTGGGACCAGTCAGTCTTCTGACTTCCACATGCATGCTGCAGCACACACACTAAATAAATGTAGAAAACACAACAAAATTCAAAAATCTTAGGACCACTAAAATTGAGAGATTCTTGAGATCAAATATCAGTATTTGTTGGGTATGGTGGCCAGCACTCAGAAAACAGAGGCAGGTGGATCTTTGTTGAGTTTGAGGTCAGCCTAGTGTACATAGTGAATTCCAGGCCAGTTAGGGCTACATGTAAGACCTTGCCTCAGATGGATGGATGGATGGATGGATGGATGGATGGATGGATGGATGGATGAATGGATGGATGAAAATGCATATTAGTGATCATGTTAAAGACATTAAAAATCATCTCCACCTCTTACCTGAATCATCCTGTATCCTGCCCTGTATCTATCAAGTATCTTGTAAATCCTAATTAATGTTAGTTATTTTTCAAAAGAGCTCAGGCCCAAAGCAAACCCTTAACTGAGTTTTAATTACACTGTATTATGTGTTTCCACATCCAAATATGGAAGTTTTAAAATACTGGACCAAAAAAAGACAGCTCATAGTCCATGCCCAGTGTTATTCAAGGGCAGGCTAGGAAACACAGCAAGGTTCCATGCCAAATACAAAATACTATCCATTTTATTATTATGTTTTTTTGTATGACTGACTAGTAATGAAATGTAACAAATTAAATTGTCCACAGAAAATTTAAGATCAGTGTTTTACTAGAGTGTTCCCACACCAAAAGTGTTAAAAGACAAAGAACCCAGCATTACTGGGGGTTGAAAATAAAGACAGTATGTATAAGTATTCATTCAGTCTTTGCCAGTCGTTTCTCAATCAACATGACGTAGCCACTAGTTGTGTTTTGATATAGCAATTGTTTCATTTATACATGTTTTTAAAGGATTTATTTATTTTTATTTTATGTGCATTGGGTGTCTTGCCTGCATATATGTCTATGTGAGGGTGACATATCCCCTGGAACTGGAGTTGTGAGCTGCTGTGTAGGTGCTGGGAATTGAACCTGGGTCCTCTGGAAAAGCAGCCACTGCTCTCAACCACTGAGCTGTCTCTCCAGTCCCATCATTTATGTTTTAAGATCTAAAGGAGCTCAGAGAAAACAAAGACTAGAATAAACACATCTATTCCCTCAGAAAAGACAAACAAGTAAATGCCCATTTAATTGCAAACATACTAGGGAAAATAATGAATAAGGAATGCAACAAAAATTCTAAATTATAATACCTACTCCAATATACCTTGAAATACTCATGGGCTCTACCCAAAACCCAGCTAGGTAAAATACTGTATTTTATAGGGGTGTTAGTAGACGTACAACAGCCACGTGCTATAGAACAGACCCAGTCAGCAGTACAGAAGTTCACCGCTTCGGCAAAGTTGTATCCCTGGTTAAATCCAGAGTGATAGGCACGAGGAAATGTCACCACAAACTCTCCAGCACACTGATTAGTCCTGTACACCTAAATGTAAAATAGGAACAGAGATTAAAATGGGAGGAAATAAGACAGTCCGACTCAGATCATTTCAAAAATATTTTCTAAAATTAAAAGTAACAGAACATCACCTTATAAATATCAAAAATATAAGGATTTAAGAAACAGCTACAACTCTGCTTTCTTCCCCCCACCCCCTCACCCCAGAGACAGGGTTTCTCTGTGTAGCTCTGCCTGTTCTTGAACTCTTTGTAGAGGAGCTTGGTCTCAAACTCAGAGATCCACCTGTCTCTGCTTCCAAGTGGTGGGGGGATTAAAGGCTTCTGCCATTACTGCTTGGCAAACTCTGTTTTCTTAAAATGTTATATGACAAGAATTAGCAGCCAAAAGAAACTCAGAAAACTGTACTCACTTGGAAGTAGAAGCAGAAGGGTCAGGAGCTCAAGATCATTCATTGTACAAGCTTGAGCTAAATGAGAACCTTTTTTTTTTTTTTAATTTTTTTTCTTTAAAACCTAAGAAAATTGTTCCTGTGTTGTAAATAAAACTAAAAGATTTCCTACAATCACTGTATAATATTTAGAAGTAAATCAATCAGTTAGTATCATATCACCTAATCAGCTTCCCAAATGTAACTTTGTTTTGTGATACTATTATAAATGTTTTTTAAATTAATTTTAAAGCCAGTTTTTTATTTTATTATTTTGGTTTTTCAAGACAGTTTTTCTATATGTAAGAACCCTGGCTGTCCTGGAACTTGATCTGTAGACCAGGCTGACCTCAAATTCAGAGATCCACCTGTCTCTGCCTCTGAGTTTTGGGATTAAAGGTGTGTACCATTATGCCTTAGGGGTTTTAATTACGAACTTCAAAAATATATTTTAAAAGTGTATCTTGATACACGTCAGTTTTTAATTCAAACAGAATTAGCATGCAAACATTAAAGATATTGCAAGACAGTGGCAACAAGTGTTTCAAGTAGGTCTAACCTTAATCCTCCACGTCGTAGCATATATCACCTTTTAAAGAAAAGGTGACATACATTATTGTATCTGCCTCTGTCTCACCATTATATGAAGTGGATGTAGCAGCACACTTGTAAACCCAAAACCCGGGAGGACCACAAATTCAGTGCCAAACTTGGACAAACAAACAATTCCCGGGAGAATGTAGTTTAGTGGTAAAGTAACTGGACAAAGTGTACAAGACCTTGAGTTCCAGCCTCAGCAGCTCAAAAAAAAAAAAAAAATTCCCAAAAACCAACCAAACAAAAACAGAATAAAAAGTTGTAATGAATGTCAAATTGTATGTAGTAAACTTAATAGCAAGTTCAAGGCCAGCTGCTACCTGAGACAAAGCAAAAAAACTCACTCTCAAAAGAAGAAAAAACCCACCAATATCTGAGCTAAGCAGTGATTCCAAAGTATATTTTATGTCATTATCTTCTATATTAAAAATGGAAATGTGAGAGGATATATGCCTTTGATTCCAGGACTCAGGAAGAAGGAACATGTAGGTATCTGTGAATCTGAGACCCTTTTGTCAATATAGTGAGTTCCAGACCAGCCAGAGCCACACAGTTAAGACCCTATTGCTAATAAAAATAAATACAAAAGATTTTTAAAAAAGTGAAATCTCCAGGAAATGAACTCCCTGACAGGCAGGCACTACCACATCCAGCTTAAAGATGTCTTTAATTATGGGGAACAAAAATCTTTTCCTCATTAGCTTTAACTGTTAACTTGGCACAGCCTAAACTCACCCGAGAGGAGTGCATCACTTAAAAACTTTCCTAGATTAGACTGGCCTGTGAAAGAGGACTATCTTGATTAATGTGGGCTGGCCAGTGTACCACTACTCCAGCTCGATGTGGTGGTACCATTCCCTGGGAAGATGTTCCTGCACTATACTAAAAAGATAGCTGGGCTGGAGAGATGGCTCAGCAGTTAAGAGCACTGAATGTTCTTCCAGAGGTCTTGAGTTCAATTCCCAGCAACCACATGGCAGCTCAATGTCTGTGACGCCAAAATTTGACACCCTCACACTCAGACATACATGAAGGCAAAACACCAATGCACATGAAATAAAAATAAATGAATAGATTATTTTAAAAAAAAGATAGATAAGCATCAGCCCATCTTAGCCAGTAACAAGCATCTTCCATGGTTTCTGCAATATCTTTTAGCTTTTGAGTTCTTTGGCCAGAGGTAATGCTGTGTTTGGAACAGTAATGCAGGCCTCTCTTCAACTTCCTGCCTTGATCTCCCTCAATGATGGAGTATGCATAATCTGGAATTTTAAGCTGAAATAAACTGTTCCTTAAGTTGTTTTATTACAGCAACACAATGAAACTAGAACAGCTATCATTTTAAGAACTTGAGTACTCTAGCTGAGTAGGGAGAATACAGAACATTAGATCTGGGAGTCACTGAGATAGTTCAGTGGGTACAGGCTCTTGCTACTATTGCGAGGGTTCAGGAATCACCACTCAAATCACATTAACACTGACCTCAGCTAAGTAAGAACAGTTTACTGAATGCATACTTTAACTGAATGTTTAGAACTGCAAAAAGGAAGGGGAAACCTAATAGCAATACTAGTCTGCTCTCAGGGTAGGCTTTTTATATGAAAAAAACAGGTTCAAAAGTTTAAAGGGCAAGAAGGGGAACAGTTGGCTTACTAGGAAAGTATTGTCAGCTAACTAACCTTCAAGCTGATTGGTCCTGAGTAAGGTAAGGAGGGGAAGGGGAAATGGGTGGTGAACAGGGACATTTCAGAACATTGAGATAACAGAGGATGAGTATCATAATCATAACTTTTTGACTTATTACTAGCATTCTTCAGTGTCAGCCACAAAACCCACAGTGAGCTCATACATAGGTACAGGAAGGGCTGCCCAGTGGTCATCTCTGACTTAAGCCCTTTTAGACAGAACAGTTCATATTGACCTTTGATTTGATGGGTCCTACATTTGTGGAATTTCTTAAGATTAGCAAACTCATATAGAACAAAACAGGGTGTGTGGTCAGGTCTCTGTGTCAGTGACTGACAGGCCTGTTACAGCAACAATATGAAATAGCTGCCAGGCATGGGACAAAATGGCTACCACTATTCTGGGGGGAGTCAGACCTTAACACTACCATGCCTGATGACCTGAATTCAATCTCTAGGATCCATAGGGTATAATTAGAGAACTGAATCCTACAAATTGTTCTCCAAACTACAACACATGCACCATGGTACAACAGGGCAAAAGCTAGGCTCACAACCAAAACCACAAAATAAGAAAATGTAATTACAAAAAAAGTTTAGAAGGGGGCTAGAGAGATGGCTTAGCAGTTAAGAGCACTTATTGCTCTTCTAGAGAACCTAGGTCAGTTTCCATCACTCACGTGGCAGCTAACAACAAGCTATAGTAACTATTCTGGGGGATCCAGTGTCTCCTTTTTACCTCTGAAGGTACCAGGAATGCATATAGCACACACACATACTTGCAAGCAAAACATTCATACACATAAAACAAACCGAGAAATAGCTCATCTATTAAGAGCATTTACTACCTGCACAGGACTTAGGTTTGATTCCCAGCACCCACATGGTGGTTCACAACCACTCTCATCTCTAGTTCCAAGGGATCAGAAGCCCTCTTCCGATTTCCTCAGGTACCCGGCATATACATTGTGTACATACATACTTGCAGGCAAAACATTCATACACATTAAATAAATCTTAGAATTTTTTTTTTTTTTGGTTTTTCGAGACAGTGTTTCTCTGTGTAGCCCTGGATGTCCTGGAACTCACTCTGTAGACCAGGCTGGCCTCGAACTCAGAAATCCACCTGCCTCTGCCTCCCACCTCTCTGCTGGGATTAAAGGTGAGCGCCACCACCGCCCGACAGAGAAAAAAAAAAAATTAAAACCCCCAATGTTTGGAAAATATACTTCATACACTTAAGTAATATGTGAAATCAAATACTTATTTATTTTTGGTTTTTTGAGACTGAGTTTGAGGGCAGAGATCACCTGCCTCTGCTTTTCAAGTGCTGAGATTAAGGGCTTGTGCCACCACAGCCTGGTGAAATTGAATGTCTTAATAATTAATCAAAAGTGTATTTTAAATTATGAAAATGACCACACAAGATATTTTGAAAAAATATTCTTAAAGTCAAAAAGAGATGGGCATGGTGGTATAAACTTTTAATGCCAGCATTTAGGAGGCAGAAAAAGGTAGATCTCTATGTATTTGAATCCAGTCCAGCTTGGTGTGCAGACCACAGAAGAGTTACCAAGTAATACTCTATCTAAAAGAAAATACAAAAAACAAGCAAACAAAAACCCAAACAACAAAAGTTTAAAAAGAAAGTCAAATTAACAGTTTTTAATTAAAAAATAGAAGGCTAATCAAATACGTAGCTGCAAGACATAAAATATGACTCATACTTTAAGTATCCCTTCTTAATCATATTAAAGTTCTATTCAAGGTATAAATTCTAGTATGGCTATACTACAGGGCCTTTCACAACTCCCTTCCCCAAAACAAAATAAGAACCCTAATTAAAAGCTAGAAAATCTTTTAAAATGTTTAAGGAAGACACAAGAAGACTCACAGGCACACCATGCTCCATGAGCACATTTGGGTTCATGATGGTTACTAACTGATGTAGGAGATCAGGCTGTGATTCAAATAACTCAGGGGCCAGCTCCCTCATCACCTCCTCCAGTTGTTCTGCAGCATGAGATGGTACACCATACCATGTCTTTGGTTCGCCCCTAGCAAAAGAAATAACTGTTTAGCTAGGTAGAACATGGTACCAAATGAAGCCAGGGTCTTTCATTCAAATCCACTAAATTATAATTATCCATGCCATATTCCTGGGCATATAGCATATGCCCAGAAACCTGGCAGCCATTCCATCAATCAATGATACTATTAAAATGGCAAATAAGGCAAGGATCTATGGACAGGTAATATACACACTCATGCCACTGGAAAAGAACCCACAGTACATAAACGGGGATCAGTAAAAGTATCTTTTGAACAGAAAACAAATAAATTACACAGAAATCACTGTTCAAAAGGATATGGACACAACTCTCTGGATTCTCAGAACAGGAGTCTTTCCTATTATGATCAAATGGTTAAAGCAAAGAGTCAATGATCTCCAGAGTACATATAAGTAACTTCATTCAGTTCAATTTTCCTTGGAAATAATACTACAAACTACTCAAACTTTAAATAGGGTTGTCTACAAAAAGGACCAAAAACTAGGCATCATTATCTATTTTAATGGATTAGAGTTCACTTAGAATACTCAGGAAATAGTACTGGCTAGTTGTATGTAAACCTGACACAAGCTAGTCATTTTTGAAGAGGGAAACTAAACTGGGAATATGCCCCCACCAAACTGATCAGTGGACAAGCTTGTGGTACGATTCTTTGATTGATAATAATGTAGGAGGACCCACACCATGGGTAGTACTAACCCTATGCTGGAGGTCTTTTTTTTTTACTTTTTCTTTTTTTCTTTTCTTTTTTCTTTTTTTTTGCTGGAGGTCTTAAGTGCTATAAGAAAGCAGGCTGAACAAGCCATGAGGAGTAATTCAGTAAAGAGTAACTCCTCTATGACCTCTGAGTCAGTTCCTACCTCTAGATTTCTGCCCTGACCTCCCTGGATGACTGACTGGAATCTATAAGATAAAATAAATCCTTTTCTCCCCAAGTTGCTTTTGATTATATGTTTTTATCACAGTAATAAAACTCCTAAGAGAGAAAAGAATTTAATTAATCAAGCTATTTAAAAGATAGTTACATTTCCTAGTTCTCCTAATTTAGAAGACTATAGACGAGAGTTATTCCATTCCCTATAGGATTTACTATAGTAATATTTGGGGCTAGAAAGATGGCTCAGCAGTTAAGAAAATTTGCTGCTTCTGCAAGAATATCCAGGTTCAGTTCCCATCATCTATATAAGGCATCCAAGTTCCAGGGAATCCAATGCCATCTTCTGACTTGAGAGCCACCTGTACTCATGTGGTATGAGTGCGCGCGTGCACATATGCATACACACATACACACACACACACACACACTCTCACGCTCTCGCTCTCTCTCGCGCTCTCTCTCTCTCTCTCTCTCTCTCTCATATACCTACACATAAAATTGCATTAAATCTTTCCAAAAGTAGTATTTTTAAACGTATTATTTTATTTGTGCTGGTAAATCAAATAGCTCCTAACCATATATAATCATAATGCACTTGAAATGTGGCTACTCCAACTGAGATAGTACATTTTTCAATATTACTTACTCTTAATTAGTATTTAAATTGAAGATTTAAAAAAAAAAGACAGCCAGGTAAGGAACTAAGTGAATGAAAAAAAAAAATCTAAGTGAGAGACAAAAAAAAAAAATTAGTAAATGATTTACTGCATATATCTCTTCGGCATTTTTATAGGAAATGTTACAAAAATGAAAAACCACTTTAAGTTTCAAATATCAAATCAAATCTTTCAGCTATGAAGTTTAAATAGCCCATTTTACTTGTCAAGATATTTCAAAAGTGGAGGAATGGAGACGGCTTGGAGTGGCTATGATCACTTGCTCCTCTTTCAGAGGACCCAAGCTCAGTTTCTAGCATCCCCATGGCAGCTCACAAATACCCAAACTCCAGTTCCAGATGACCTGATGCCCTCTCTTGACCTCCAAAGGCTCATACACACATGTACACACACATACACTGAGACATACACATGTAAACACATAAAATAAAAAATATAAATAATTTAAAAATATGCATCAAAATTTGGCTGGGTATGAGCTCAGAACATCAGTACTAACACTGAACACAGGAACAAGGTCTTTTAATCCCTAATATACAAAATAAGTCATCATTAATTTTCTCATCTGCTACAAAAGCAACATTTAATTTAAAACTTGGGAGCTAGAAAGATAATTCAGTGGTTTAGAAAACAAGCTGCTCTTTCAAAGTATTTGAGTTCAATTCCCTGAACCAATGTGGCACCTCAAAATTGTCTGTAACTATAGTTCCAGAAGATCTGGTACTCTCTTCTGGCCCTTGTGGCATAGTACACATGTGGTCCATAGGCATACATGCAGGCAGAACACCCACACACATAAAAAAAATAACACAAACCTAAAAAAAAAAAACCTGCTCTAGGTTCTGGCAATTACACATACTTCCAAATTGTAGGTAGTCTGAGACAACTCCCCTCCCCTCCTCAGTATACTATTTTGGTTTTATGTAAAAAATACTTTTGAAGTCAGTTCTCCCTAAAACATCAGCTAATATTATTACATCTTAAAAATAAAAGACCAGTCCTAATATGGTGATACACATCTATAATTCTAGCACTCTGGAAGTAGTAGAGTCAGAAGACCCAGCAGCTCAAGGTGAGCTACACACAAGCTTGAGGCTAACTTGTCAAAAAAAAAAAAAATTTAAAATTAAACTATGACCATAAATAAAAAAGTCAGAGCTGAAGGCATAGCTCACTGGTAGTTCAAATACTTGGCATATATGAAAGAGAATATTTGTGTATTGTATGGATGCATCACCTGTCAATTAAAAAGTCTATGGCCTATGGCTTAGACAGAAAATGGAAGGTGGGACATCCAGAAAAAGAATTCTAGGACAGAGCCAGGTACAGGGCTATCCACCCAGGAAGATGTGAGGAGATGGACTCACAGGTAACCAGAAACATGGCAAAATGTGGGTTAAAATAGTTGAGTTATCTAAGTTATGATCTAGTCAGAGAAGAGCCTAGCTATATGACCAAGGTGTTTGTAAATGTGTTCTGAGTCTGAGTCTTATTTCTGGGAGCGTGTGACTGGGAGGTAGAACCCAGCCTAACTTTAACATGAGTCCCTGGATTTAACTGCTAATACCACTCTCCCCCTAGTCCCTAAAGAGTCAAAGTTACTAAGTATAAGTATATATGCTGTAACAAGATTGGACATACCAATGCAAGTAGTTAATGGAATAACTCCAGTGATCTTCAATATGCCAGCAAAAAGAAGAAAAGCACATCCCCACATAGAGCCATGGCACCTTCATACCAGAAATGTCCACATTAATATGCGCAAGAACAGACTGCTCCAGAACAGGCATGTTATTCAAATTCCAACCAGAAAGTGCATATTCCTACAAAAGGAAAAAAAGTTAAACAAACAAACAAACAAACAAACAAAAAACAGAGTTTACAAGTATTACTAAACAAAAATCTTTTTTTTTTTTCTTCTGTATAGCCCTGGCTGTCCTGGAACTCACTCTGTAGATCAGGCTAGCCTTGAACTCTCAAACTCAGAAATCCGCCTGCCTCTGTCTCCCAAGTGCTGGGATTAAAGGCGTGCTCCACCACCGCCTGGCCTAAACAAAAATCTTAAGAGAATTTTGTAACCCACCGCTAATCTACCACTAGTCTAATCTATGTACCTATAACTAATCTAAATATTTGGTATCTAAATATCTAAACTTTTCTAGGTTCTATTGATATTTCCCTTTGTTTTAGGAATATATACATATACACATACATACCTTCAGAGGCCAGAGAGACCATACTGGATCTCTAGAATATACTTAAACACTGAACCTTCTCTCTAGCCCACTCTTAGATTGTGGAACAGAAAGAGCTAGGCAAAATCTATAAACTAGGGCCAGTGAGAGGCTGAGTGAGTAAAGGTACCTGCTGTTAAATCTGACAACTTCAGTGAGATCCTGGAAACACTCTATAAACAGAGAGAACTGACTCTCATACATTGTCCTTTGACTACCCCAAACAATCCTCCAGCATGTGACACACACACAGTCAAAACAAAGAGGATTCGTTTTCCTGGAACTTAATATATAGATCAGGCTGACCTCAGAAAGATTTGCCTGCCTCTGGCTCCCAATTATAATAATTTTTTAAAAACAACTTTCAAACTGGATTAAATTTTAACTAAATTAGCTTTAAATTTTGGAGATAAAGTAATTCTTTTTTTTTTTTTGGTTTTTCGAGACAGAGTTTCTCTGTGTAGCCCTGGCTGTCCTGGAACTCACTCTATAGACCAGGCTAGCCTCGAACTCTCAAACTCAGAAATCTGCCTGCCTCCGCCTCCCAAGTGCTGGGATTAAAGGCGTGCGCCACCACTGCCCAGCAAGATAAAGTAATTCTTAAAGATATTTTGAATATGCTTTGTTTATAACAGTCTCAGTATGCAGTTCAAGCTGAACTACTCATAAATCCTGTACCTTAGTTTCCAAAGCACTAGGATTATAGGCATGCACACCCATGGTCAGTTCAAAAATCATTATTTATAAAATTAAAGTTCATTTATAGTCTAAATTCTACATATTTCATATTTGACGCTGGCAAGGTCCCTTAGGATTAGAGAAAGAAAGCTTTCTATGAAAATGCAACATGAGCTTCAGAGTAAGAAGTTTACATAACAGTATCCACACCTCTTCTTCCGGCAACATCTTTCTCTGACCATCCTTTATAGGAAATCCACTTCCAAAATCTTTTGAAGAGATATCAGCTCCATACTCTACAATAACATCTTCTTCGATACTACTTACTAGCCGCCAGAATTCCTTTTCTACTAGCTCTGTAGGAACCATCTATAATAGAACCAAAGATGATAATTAACTCATTATAATTATAACCCCCTAAAACATAATATACAGACCAACTGAACAAAAACATGATAAAAACAAATCACCCCACTTTCCAGAGCAGAATTAACTCCTATTATCTCCTCACTGAGAATACGGAAAAGCTAAGGATAACTAAAATTTAAACATCAAAATGCTTTTCATAAAGTTGTGGTGATACATACCTTTGATCCCAGCACCAGAAGACAGAGGATCTCTATGAGTTCCAGGCCAGCCTGGTCTATAGAGTTACGTTCCAGGTCAGTCAATGCTACATAGTGAGACCTCATTTCAAAAACAACAACAAAAACAAACAAACAAAAAACAAAAAACAAAACAAAAAAAAAAAAAAAAAGAGAGAGAGAGAGAGAGAGCTGGAGAGATGGCTCAGCGGTTAAGAGCAGTGACTATTCTTCCAGAGGTCCTGAGTTCAATTCCCAGCAACCACAAGGTGGCTCACAACCATCTGTAATGGGATCTGAAGCCCTCTTCTGGTGTGTCTGAAGACAGCGACAGTGTACTTATACGCATAAAATAAATAAATCTTTAAAAAAACCAAACCCAACGAAAAAGAGTGAAATTAACAAAACAGATTGTTAGGTCTCTAATTTTAAGACTTGGTATTCTATAATCTTTTTTATATTGTTCGTGATTGCTACAAAACTTGACAGAAAAAAAAAAAATCTTTGTTTCTCTCTAACCCAACCTAAATGATAGCTACTCACATGGACTGGCATATTGAAATAATCAGACTTAAAATTATCTGCCATCTCTCCAAAGCTTTGAAGTGTATATTCTCTTATAGCTTGTTCAAATCCAAAGGCTTCTCGAGGTTTGTTACATTCCTGTGGGGGAAAAAGATGCCTGAGGTAAACTCACTGAAAGTTGAAAAGCATTAAAACCTGCAAATACTAACTAACAGATATGGATGGTAACTCAGTGGAATAAGCTCTCAGGCCCTAAGTTTGATATCCAGACATACAGCAAATAAATGTCTAAAATATAGCTTTTCTTGGTCATTTCTTTAGCTGAAACAAATCTAATCACCCTTATACAGTAAAACAAGTATCAGATTAGTTACAGCAACAGATTAGTTACTTGAAATTAGAATCTCAACTGACTGTTCACTCTTCTAAGATAATGTTCTGCTACTAAATCAAGCCTCAAAAGGAATACTACCTACAGAAGGATGCTACCATTATTAGCATCCAAAGAGTTAATAAATACAGACGAAAGAAAGAAAGGCTTCTGTTATAGGACATCCACTGGACTGTTAGGCTAGGAGAATGGTTTCTTCACATTACCAGTCACCAGAAACTCTAATACCTCTAAGTCTTTTAACAAGTAGTAATTAAAAGGCCGTAAAAGCCTCTGATTGCATCTAGATATCCCAAACACTCCTTCTCTTCAGAGATGTATCATGACATTTTGTTAAAATAAATACACAGATGAGGCATTTCCTAACACTATTATCTTTCAGTAAGGCCAGACATTATGGTACATGTCTGTAATTGCAGCACTCGGGAGCAAGAGGATCATAAGTTCCAGGTCAGCCATAGATACCTAGATGATCTTATCAAGGAAATAGAAAAAAAAAAAAAGAGAGAGAGAGAGAGAGAGAAGAGACAGAATGAAGAAGAAAAAAGAAAAGTTAAAAATAAAAGTATAAGCAAGTCACATTTGCACAAGCTAAAAAACAACATATGTTTATATATAATACATGGATACATCTCAAATTTTAGAGCTTCATGTCTAACTCTCACTATATTTTAACAAACATCCGTAGGGGCTAGAAAGATGGCTAAGCAGCTAAGAGCACTAGTTGTTCTACGAGAAGACCTGGGTTTATTCCCTAAAACCCATATGGTGGCTCCAGCTCTAGGGGATTTGTGATGGTCTGAATGAGAAACATTCCCCATACTCCCAGGCATTTGAATGTTTGCTCCCCAGCTGGTGGGGATATTTGGGGAGGCTTATAAAGTGTGGATTTCATGGAGGAAATGTATCACTGGAGGCAGGCTTTTGAGTTTAATCACTTGTTTTGTTTAGTTCATTCTATTTTCTTGAAGCAATGTGTGAATACTCAGCTTTCTGGCCCTGCAGCCACGGCTGTTGCTTTGTTGTGTACCTCCCTACCATGACAGACTCTTATCCGTCTGGAACCATAAATCTAAGTAAACTTTCTTCTACAAACTCCCTTTGCCATAACATTTTATCACAGCAACAGAAATACTGGATGTGCCGGGCAGTGGTGGCGCCCGCCTTTAATCCCAACACTTGGGAGGCAGAGGCAGGCAGATTTCTGAGTTCGAGGCCAGCCTCGTCTACGGAGTAAGCTCCAGGACAGCCACGGCTACATAGAGAACCCTGTCTCGAAAAACACAAACAACAATAACAAAAAAAAAAAGAAGAAGAAGAAAAAAAGAAATACTGGATGTGATGCTTTCTTCTGGCCTCCACAGGCATCAAGCATGCATGTGGCACAAAGAGAGAAATGCAGACAAAACTCTCACACACATGACAACATCTATAACCTATCTTAATTTTTATTCTAACATCTAAAATAGGGAGGCTGAGGAAAGGGGGTTCCATTGAGTTCAAGGCCAGACCGGGATACAGCATAAGACCATGTCAAAAAAAAAAGAAAAAACAAAAAGTCCTGTTTTCCAAAATGTTTCCAAAAGCCGATCTATGTACAAAGCTTTGTGAATAAAGAGATCCTATACATACTGTCACAGAAGCTGAGTCTTATTCCAGTAACTTGGGGTTTAGTAATATAATTTCAGGAGATACTGTATTTCATACTTGTGGTTTTGTTAACAAATACACAAAGATTTTGGTAAGCACTTTGTAAGTATTTGCTAATTCTTGATTTTGAGAATTCGTGGTTTTCTAAAAGTGGTTACTATGTCAGAGACTACTTAAATGTAATGCTAATCACTGCTTCAAGTCTAAGAAATAACTGCCATCTGAAATATTAATAATTTCAAGTAAACCAAGAGCTTTTGTACTTTGTAATTTTTGTTCCTCCTGAGACAGGGTTTCTCTGTGTAGCTCTGACTAGAACTCACTAACTATGTAGATCAGACTGGCCTTGAACTTAGATCTGCCTATCTCTGACTCCCAGGTGCTAGGATTAAAGGTGTGAATCAGCACCTCCTGGTGGTCCTTTGTAATTTAATTTAAAAATGTGTATGAGTACTTTGCTTGCATGTACATCTGTATACCATATGCAAGCCTAGTACCCAGGCAAGACAGAAAAAGGGTATAAGATTTTCTGGAATTAGGAGTTAGAGATGGTGAGCTAACCATGTGGGTGCTGGGAATCAAACCTGGGTCCTCAAGAAAAGTAGCAAGTACTCTTAACTGATAAGCATCTCTCTAGCTAAATGTTTTTTATATTCTTCCTTAGTTCTATTCACATTTTATTTTAAACTGTTGCCATTTATATAATAAAATAACTTACAATTTTGAAAGTCTCATTCAACTAAAACAATAAAATTATCTAACCAATAGAGAAGGAAAAATGTTAAAACAAGCTGCTGAAAATACAGTTACTTATCCATTCAAAATACTCTTTTTAAAGTCCTGGAGAGTTTTCAACAACCATAAATAAGAGACAAGCTTTGGAAATGTGTTTAAATTACACACATGGACTACTGTCATTAGTTTAAAGTGGACCCATACGGTTAAGTTTGTACCTCAGCAACACATTTAGGACACCTCCAGTCTCCTTTGGGTACATCAGGCAGTGGTGGAAGAAGACAAAACGTATGATAGCTGTCATCGCATCCATCACACAAAAGCAGTTTATCCTCATTGTTTCCACGACCACAAAACATGCAAACATAGAGATCAACCTATGAAGATAAATAAAAATAATTCTATTTTCTATAATATATTGTATTTTTTCCATGAACTACTCCATAAAACAAATAAAATAGTATACACTAAAAATTAAACATAGTTTAATCCTGCTGGGCAGTGGTGGCGCACGCCTTTAATCCCAGCACTTGGGAGGCAGAGGCAGGCGGATTTCTGAGTTCGAGGCCAGCCTGGTCTACAGAGTGAGTTCCAGGACAGCCAGGGCTACACAGAGAAATCCTGTCTTGAAAAACAAAAACATCACTCATTCCACATACAAATACTATACTACGGAATGAATTCTGAAGAAATGCTATTGAATACCCCATCTCAGTAACTTTTAAGAATCCTTAGAGGGGACTAGAGAGATGGCCCAGTGGCTAAGAACACTGGCTATTCTTCCAGAGGATCCAGTTTCAATTCCCAGCACCCATGTGACAGCTCACAACTGTCTCTAACTCCAGTTCCAGGGGACCCGACACCTCACACAGACATACACGCAAGCAAAAACACTAATGCACATGAAATAAAAATAAATAAATTTAAAATTTCCATTCTTGGAATTTGCCAGGGTTTAGCCCAGGATCCAACCATGCATACCCACCCCAGTAAATATCAAAACCTAAGGGTAATTAAATCCCATATATAAAATAAAATGGCTTAGTACATATCATCCCTCAGAGTAAGTCATCTCTAGATTATTTACACTAAGATTATGTAAATGCTTTAGAAATTGCAACACTATATTGTTTGGTAAATAATACCAAGGAAGAGGGGTTATTTTATGGTGGGCTTACTGATGCACACCTGTAATCCCAGCCCAAAAGGTTAAGGCAGAATCATCTCAAATCTAAAGCCGCTTAGGTCTCACCCTAAGTTCTAGACCAGCCTGGCCTATATAGCCAGAACTGGTCTCTGTTTTTAAAAAAAGAAAAAAGAAAAGAGTTCTGCATTGCTCAGTATAGAAGTAATTTATTATTATAATTTTAAAAATATGTATGGATTCTTCTGTTGTTTTTGCTAGTTTTGTTTGTTTTTTTGTTGTGTACCATAAACATGCCTGGTGCTTTCAGAAGCCAGAGGTCAGAAGAGAGCATCAGATTCCCTGCAACTGGAATTAGATAGTTATGAGCTGCCAGGTACGTGCTTGGTGTCGAACCCAGGTCTTCTGGAAGGGTGTTCAATGCATTTAACCACTGAACACCTCTCCAGTTCCAGAAACAATTTTTAAAAAGTCTTTGATCTATTATTTGGTTAAACCAATGGAGGCAAAAGCTGAAGTCACAAAGGGCTAACTATACATAAATTTATATTCACTTCTCTACCTCAGTTACTCACAGGCATATGATTTAGGGGAATGTACATAGACAAAGGACAGTTAATATTACATAACAAACCAAAGCTTCAACTTGAGATTTTCCACCATGTCTTTTAATCAAATAAGCTAATTGAACACCATATGTCAACACACAGCAAGACAAAAATAAATCTTTTCCCGTCTGACAAATCCCAAAGCACTTACGAAGTTAACAGAGAGAGTTCCCTTCCGTTGTCTCATTTGCATGTTAAATGCATCTGATCTGTTGGTAACTTTTCGTCTTCGAGTGACCTCATCTTGAAAAAAAAAGTTATATAATAAAAGTAAACTGAAGTTGAGTGCTTACTATGAACCACACACTATTTAAAGTTATTTAAATTAAATAAAGTCTCATAACACTTATAAGATAGATTTAGTTACTGTTGGCAGATGAAGATAAAAAACTTAAGGGATAGTAAAATTAGATAACTGGTTTAAGATCATATAGCCAAGTATATAGCAGATTTGAGATTCTAATCTAGACATATCCAGAGAGTTAAAACCTTCAATGACTGACATATTTATTATAAACTGTCCATATGCATGCTTTAGAGAGGTCTCAAGTTAGTCATAGCTTTTTCTTTAAGATTGTCAGGCAACACAACTATTATAATACCAGAAGGTCAAGAATGGTTGTGTACAGCTTTAATCCCAGTACTCAGGAGGCAAACACAGGCAGATTTATTAAGTTTAAGGCCAGATTAGTCTACATAGCAAGTTCTAGAACAGCCACAGATACACAGTGAGATCCTGTCACAAAAAAACAAGCAAGCAAGCAAGCAAACAAACAAACCAGAAGAACAGAGCCAGGAATGATGGCTCATATCTGTAATCCCAGTCCTGTGAGACTAAACAGGAGGACTGTCAAAAACACTAAAGAAAAGAAACCCACAAAAACAAAACAAAAAGATGAGGGTTTATTTTTTAAACTAGGCCTCATAATGTCTGAAGTACTGGTAATTATTATTATACTGACTGTATGTTGTTCTTTTTCATTTTATGTTACTAGATTTTGTTTAGGTAGGTAAATATTCTACCACTGAGCTATATCTCTAGCCTTTTATCTTTAATCTATCTTTAATGGTATTTTGTCTCTACAAATTGCCCAGATTGGCCAGAAACTCACTGTGTAGTACTGTCAAGTCTCAAACCTATATTCTGTCTCAGCCTTCTGAGTAGCTGGAATTACAATAAACCTGCATTACCAGACCTTAAAATTCCCAAAGTCTTTAGAGTTGAACAATATTATCTGATCCCTTACAGTTCCAGCCCATAATCCACATTATATTAGTTATTCATCTAATAAAGGCAGAGCAATGTGTGACTTTAAATAGTTCATTAAATTATTACACTCAATGGTCCAGCCTAGTTTTGATTAAAATACATTTTAAATTAATAATGCATGATTTTTGCATCAGGAAACCTGCTCACAGAAATTTCTAATATGCTAAACTAGGTGCTTTAAAGAAAATTTATTTCAATGGTACAATATATAGAGGACGAATTATTTAGAAAATTAAAATAATATTCAGAGTTTAAAGTTCTAACCTCTCCTCAGTGTATTTTCATACTAAAAGTCTGAGAATCTCTTTAATTTAAAAGTAGTAACTTTTAGAAGACTATGCGGCAACCAATAGCTTAATCATTAGTGAGACTAAACTAGCCGTTAGATAGTAAATGAAGTTTCCATGATGTGCATTAGACATGAAGACAGACAATTCTTCTAAAAGTCAAAAATATACAGTGTAATATTTGTTCCTTACACATTACATTTAATATCTCTACCATTAAAAAAGCCAGTCTGCCTACAAACCAGGTAGCAAGTTTACAAATGTTAAGACTTCCCAGCATATGGGCTGGAGAGATGGCTCAGCAGTTAAGAACACTGACTGCTCTTCCAGAGGTCCTGAGTTCAATTCCCAGCAACCACATGGTGGCTTACAACCATCTGTTACGGGATCTGATGCCCTTTTCTGTTGTGTCTGAAGACAGCTACAGTGTACTCATATACATAAAATAAACAGATACATCTTAAAAAAAAAAAAAAAGAGAAAGAAAGAGAAAGAAAGAATTCCCAGCATAGAGTGAAATTCAAGTATTACTTGCACCTTGCAACAACCATGCCATTGCACTTCATTATATATGAGTAACAGATTTTACCTTCTTTATCTTTTGCTCCTACTGCCAGGCCCACAACTTTGGGCCCAGCCCCAAAAATCTGAAGTTTCTTCAGTTCTGTGTTTCTATTTACTTCTCCAGAGTCTGACTAAAAATAAATAAATATTAGCATTATTACTCAGGATCAAATAATTAGTTTTAAGAGATAAGATCTTAGCTGGGCAATGGTGGCTTGGGCCTTTAATCTCAGTACTTGAGAGCCACAGGCAGGCAGGTAGATCTCTGAGTTTGAGACCAATCTGGTCTACTACCAGTTAAGAGCTAGTTCCAGGTCAGTCAAGGCTACACAAAGAATCAAACAAACCAACAACAAAAACAAAAAAACTACTCCCCCAAATTATTAAGTTCATGAGATCCTGTCTCTAAAAAAAAAAAACAACCAAACCCCAAATAACTTCTGTTAAAAATAGTCCATGGGAACTAGGTAGTGGTGGCAAAAACCTTTAATCACAGCACTCAGGAGGCAGAGGCAGATATATACCTAAGTTCAAGGCCAGCCTGGTCTACAGAGTGAGTTCCAGTACAGCCAGAAAAATCCTGTCTCAGGAGACTAGGGGGAGGTTCATGGGGCTACTGAAGATGGCTCACCAATTAATGGCAGTTCCCGCCAAGCATGCAGCCATAGTTGTGTCCTGGGAACCCATGGTAGGAAGAAAGAACTCAGTTTCAAAAATTTTCCTCTGGGCTCTAGAGATGTCTCAGTGGTTAAGAGCACTGATTGCACTTCTACAGCTCCTGAGTTCAATTCCCAGCAACGACATGGTGGCTCACAACCATCTGCAATGGAGTCTGATGCCCTCTTCTGGTGTGTCTGAAGAGAGCAATGGTGTACTCATATACATAAAATAATCATTAAAAAAAAATTGTCCTCTGATCTCCACATACATACTATGGTATGTACATAAATACACACACACTAAAATTTTAAATGGGCCAAGGACACTGACAGGTACCTGAGATTTAACTCGTCTTGTTCTCTTTGGTGGAATATTCATTCTTGTTCCCCGCTCTGGGGAGGGCTGGATGTTAGTGCTGAGAACCTCAGCCTCAACTTTTTCTTTAAGATCTAAATCAGGCATTTGTACACCCTAAAAGGACACAAGAAGAGAGAAAATTCACTAAAACAAGTTTGAAAATGAGTGGAAAAGTCCCTAATACCACATGAATCCAGGTGGTAAGCCTGATCTCACAGTCATCTATAAGCTCAAAGCAATCCTTGACAAAGCAAATTCTGCTTTGTTCTTCAGAGTATCTCATACAGTCCCTAAGACATCAGAACTGGTCTGAAACTCTCTATGTAGCAGAGAATGATTCTGAAGTTCTGGTTCTCTAGACTTACAGGCATACACCACCAAACCAAGCTCCCAATGTTTGTATTTTTCAACAAGCTCAGAAGGATTTCTTTTCATGGAAATTGAAAGTAAACACAAAAATTTATGTGAAAGTGCAAACTGTTTGAAAATACTGAAAAGGAACCAAATTAGAGAACTTATACTATGAGGTTTCAAAATTTACTATAAAATAATACTGAAAATCATGCAGTAGGGGTTGGAGATGGCTCAGCAGTTAAAGACTAAGTATTGCTCTCACAGAGGACTCAAACATGGTTCCCAGCACCCACATCAGACAGCTTTCTCTTTTTTTTTTTTTTTTTTTTTTTTGCAGCTTTTGGGAACTTTATTTCAGCTTTCAATTGCCTATGACTCCAGCTCCTGGAGGAGAAAACAACTCTGACCTCTGTGAGCACTTGCACTCATTTGCACATACTCACAACAGACATACATAGACTGGAGAGATGGTTTGGCCACTAAAGGGTAGGTTCACCAACCCAAACTAGACTTGCATAAACATAAATGGCCTTTAAAAACAAAACGACAGTATAGTACTGATGATAGGGTAGAAATACAGAGTAATTCCTCCTATCTGTGGGGCATTTGTTCTAAGCTCCCCATTAGATGTCTGCAATTGGGCACAGTGCTGAATCCTATATACCTTTTCTATATATTTATAGTTATAATAAACTTTAACTTGCAGCAATTTTTAAAAAAAAATTCTGTGTTGAATGTTTTGCTTCCATACATACATATAAGTGTCTAGTATCCTTGAAGGTCAGGCAAGGCTCCAGAAACTGGAGTTTCAGATGGTTGTAAGCTGCCATGTAGGTGGCTAAGAACTGAAGCTGGGTTCTTTGCAAAAGGATCAAGTCTTTCTGCTGCTGAACCATCTCTGTGACCCCAAAACTTCAACTTGTAAATTAGGCACAGTAAGATGCTGACTATAGCTGGGTAATGGTGGCAGAAGCAGGCACATCTCTGAGTTCAAGGCTAGCCTGGTCTATAGAGGAAGTTCTAGGACAGCCAGGGCTACACAGAAATACCCTGTCTCAGTAAAAAACAACCAAACAAACATACTGACTATAAAAATATAACAATAGTAATATAATGAAGTTATATTAATGTGGCTTATAGCACTGAAAGTTCCTTACTGTACTTTCATTTTTTTAACCTAAATTTATCTCCAAATTCTGAGGGTTTTTTTTTTTTGGTGTAAACTGTCAACTTCACATTTCTGGGCCATTATTAAGTAAGATAAAAATGGCTTACACCCAAGTACCATAATTCCAACAGAAAATGTAATAAATAAAACGTCTCCTAACTACCTAAAAAGCAGAGATAAATAGATGATCCATTACTAGGGCAAGAAGGAACAAGATTTAATCACACTACTCAGAATGAAATGTCAAGTGAAACAGATTATACAGTAAACTGAAATGAGAGAATGAAACCACATGTAAGGAAGGGACTACTGTGGAACTATAGAATACAGATATAAGCATATAGTTTTGGGTCAACTCTTGGTCAATAAAGGTGACAAATCAATGGGAAGAGCTGTCTTTTGAAAGGAGTAGAACCAGGTATAGTGGCACACATACCTAGTGTTCAAAGCTGGCTTCATCTACATATGGAGTCCTGGCCTGCTGGAACTACATATCAACACTCCATCTCAATAGAAAATAGATTTAGAAAAAAGAAAAAGAAAAAATAGAAAGCAAGAGAGAAGGGGGGGTGAGGGAAGGAAGAAGGAGGGAGAAGGAAAAAGCGGAGGGAAGAAGGCCTGCTGACTTTGAAAGAACAGGGCAGCAGATAGATATCCAAGTTAGTGGTTAGAAGCCAGCCAGGGCTAAATAGTAAAACCTGTTTTTTTTTTTTTTTTTTAAAAAAAAATTACTGAGAAATTTCAATTACTCTATATTTCTTTGAGCTCCAGAGCAAGACATAGTCTCAAAAAATAAAGCTACACCAAAAACAATGTATAAAAGAAATCAATGGGAAGCTAAATCTTCAAACAGACATCATTATAAAAATGTCTAACTACACTATCACAAAATATTTACAAAAAAATATACCTGAAAAAAAAGCGTATCCAGAATAAATACCAAACCCTTACAAGTATAAGGCAAACAGCTCAACTTTAATGAAAAAAAAAAAGATATGAGAAGTCACTTCATGAATATCACAAAAATGGAGGAAATCTAGAGATAGCTCAGTGGCTGAGAGCACATGCTACCCTTTGCAGAGAACCTGCGTTCAGTTTCCAGCACCTAAATGGTAGCTCACAACTCTGTAACTCCATTTCCAGAAGATATGTGTGATGGTTTGTATATGCTTGGCCCAGGGAGTGGCAGTATTAGGAAGTGTGGCCTTGTTAGAGCAGGTGTGTCACTGTAGGTATAGGCTTAAGACCCTCATCCTAGCTGCCTGGAAGTCAGTATTCTGCTAGCAGCCTTCAGATGAAGATGTAGAACTCTCAGCTCCTCCTGCAGCATCCCTGCCTAGATGCTGCCATGTTCCCACCTTGATGATAATAGACTGAACCTCTGAACCCGTAAGTCAGCCTCAATTAAGTATTGTCCTTATATAAGAGTTACTTTGGTCATGGTGTTTAAAACCCTAAGAAAGAAGTTGGTACCAGGGATTAGGGTATTGTTTTGATAGGCCTGACCATGCTTTTGTTTGGAAGAATGTGGATTTTGGGACTTGGATTTATACAGCAGTGGAATGCTTTAAGTAGAGTTTAATGGGCTATCCTAGTAGGAATATGGAAGACTTTGGTGTTGAGGGTGACATGAACTGTGCAGACCTGGCCCAAGAGGTTTCAGTGAAGAAGAATTTCAGTATGTGGCTTAGAGACTATTTTTGTGATATTTTGGTGAACAATATGGCTGCTTTTTTTTTTTTTTTTTTTTGCCCTTGTCTACATGAGGCTAAGGTAAAGAGATTTATACTAAATGCATTGACAAAGGAAGTCTCAAAAAAGCCCAGCAGGGACTTTGTTCTCTAGTTAGGACTCTTGAAGAGGGTTTTGAACAAGTGTAGCAAGCTTAGAAAGGAAAAATATAAAATATATGGTTCGAGCATTAAAGGGGCACCAGGAAGTGAAATGGAGCTGAATCCTGTGTTCTAGAAGAGAGCTGATTAAGTGAGTGGAATTTGGGGGCAAGATCCTACCCAGCTAAATTTAGATCCAGGCATGGTGGTACACACTTTAATCCCAGAAGACAGGCATGCAGATCTCTGAGCTCAAGGTCAATCTACAGAGCAAGATCCAGGACAGCCATGCTTAGGCCGTGAAGGACTTAGAAAACAGAAAGCTAGTGATAACATAATAGAACAAGGGGGTCATGTTCCAGCTCCTGTAACAGCAGAACTCAGCAATGTGGCTATGGCTTTAGAGTGAAAAAATAAAAGAGACTACTGGGACAATTGATGCTGGTGTAGCTGGAAATTAGCAGTGATTAGCAGTAAGAAGAGACCAGCCTCACTGAGGTGAAATCTTCTGGGAAGTGTTTTCTGAGAGCACAAAGAAGCTGTGTTTCCAAAATTTTCAAAATGCCAGAGCCATAGGATATCTATCTGCTGAGGAATGCTGCTAACAGGGAGTCGAATCAGCCCAGGACAAAGAAGTTTGTTGCAGTCAACAAAGATGAAAAAGGAGTTGGAGCTCTGAAGATCACTTTGACATCAGACCTGGAGATGCAGAGTTTGGAGATTGCCCAGCTGGTTTCCTGTCTTGATTTGGGATTACAGTTAAGTAATTAGATGCATCTCAGAAGAGACTTTGAACTTTTAACAGTGTTGAGACTGCTATAGACTATGGGGACTTTTGGACTAAATGTCCTTTTTTATTATGCTATTGCTAGATATGGCCCCCATAGACTCAAGTGTTTAAACAAGCCTATAGGGACCAGGGAGTGGAATGTGATGATTTATATATGCTTGGCCCAGGGATTGGCACTATTAAGGGGTGTGGCCATGTTAGAGCAAGTATGCCACTGTAGGTGTAGGCTTAACAACCTCATCCTTGCTGCCTGGAAGTCAGTATTCTGCCAGCTTGGATGCTGCCATGTTCCCACCTTGATGATACTGGCCTGAACCTCTCAACTTGTAAGCCAGCCCAATTAAGTGTTGTCCTTTATAAAAGTTGCCTTGATCATGGTGTCTGTTCACAGCAGTAAACCCTAACTAGACAACCAGTGAGAAAAAAGAACATTCAAGACTGACCCATTACAATCCACACAGAAAAGTTTAAGTTAACTCTGCATGGTGCATTACCAACTTGTCAGACACAATGGGCCTACATAGGAGGCACAACAGCCATAGCAGCTGGTACCTAACCAGTCATTTCTTGGATTTGAGGTCTGTTTCACAGAAGGGAAATTATCTTTGATACTATACACATAATCAAAAAGCCAATGGCTGGAAAAGTGATAGTCCCTAGTGAGAAATTTACTGCTATTTTGCTAAACAGTCAAGGTATGTCTGTCAAATTGGATTTTAAATATTTATGATCATATATTAGTGCTGCCACCCTCTTTGATCAGAAAAGCTTCTTTTTGCAGTGCATGGTGGATAATACAAAGACTCATAACTGGTTAAAGATGTAATAAGAGGTTATTTAAGGCTCAGACTCAAAACAGAAACCTCTGAAATACCCACTTTGAGGAGTAGCCAACACTAAGAAGTCGGATTCAAGCTGGGTGTGGCAGCTCATATTTTTATCAGAATCAGGTAGGTATCTATGGGCGGGAGGCCAATCTAGCCTACATAGTGAATTCCAGACTATACAGTGAGACACTGTCTCAAAAATTCCAAATTAGACCAAAACAAAACCTTTTTTCCAGAAATAATGAAGATTTATAATTAAATATGAAGACAACCTTCATTCCCATTATCCTTTACCCTGCAAACCACTAGAACTAATTCTAATTTTTAAACTTTAACACATTTTCTTCTCAAATTTTGGTGCCCAAACAGCTATCCCATTTTACTATGCATAAGCATATCACTTATAGTGAATATCACCTGAAGTTTATACTTGACAAATTAAATTTTCCACTCAAAGAACTATGATGATCTCACCATAAGGCTGACACCAGATTGGAAAAGCTCGTATGGGTAGAGAATTCTTTCATAGTGTGACTTCAAAAGAGAACCAGTTCCTTTTCCTGGTAGATATCCCAACCGGCTACCCACTTTAGACCATTTCTTCTCTTTGGTGACTATTTCAAAACCTCCTTTGCTGGCAACAATCTGAAAAAAAAAAAGTAGAAATTCTTTAGGGAAAGAGATTAATTGCAAGCATCCTAATTTGTATAATCTCAAAAGATAAAAGCTTTTCCCCCAAAGCAGCTAGTAAAGTGTTTGCCTAGTATACAGGAAACCACTGATTTTGACACCTAGTACCATAAAACCTAGGTGTGGTAGTGCACACCTGTAATTCAAGCTCTCTGGAGGTGAAGACAGGACTCGACATTCAAGATCATTTTCCACTGCATAGTAAGTTGGAGGCCAGAATGAAATACATGAGATCTGACTAAAAGTAAAAACAGTGGGTCAGAGCCAGGGCTACACAGAGAAACCCTGTCTCAAAAAAACAAAAAAACAAAAAAAAAACAAAAACAAAACAAAAAGTGTGTCAGTAGAACGGTTCCTCAGGTAGGCTGTTGCTCTCAAGTCTGATAATCTGAGTTCCATCCCTAGAACCAACATAATAGGAGAACCAGTTCCTACAAGTTGTCTTCTAACTTCCACAAATACTTCCGTGTCTAAGATCATGCATGTGCATACACACAAAATTAATGTTTTAAAATAGTTTCACCAGGTAAGAAAACTTTCGGCATCCTAACACTGTATGTTTTCTGTAAATATAAACATTATTTTGGACTTAAAATGTAAATTTCCTTTTATTAAACTGATACCATTAACATACAAAGAAATGGAGACAGTGATTTTTACAAATATCAAACCTTAAAATTTAATGTTACTGGGTCCACTTTCAAGATATTCAAAAGCATTTAATAAATTTATACTTTGTACATTATGCAGCATGAAAAAAAATATACACTAACCTAAAAAATTAACCTGCCCCACACCCCACCAAAAAAAAAATTTTTTTTTGAATCAAGCTGCTGCAAGTCTGGACACATTTCTGCAGTTAAGAGAGCTTGTTTCTCTAGCAAAGGACCTGAGTTTGATTCCTAACACCCATACTGGGAAAGTCACAAACACCTGTTAATTCCAGCTGTTCCAGGGATCCAATGCCCTCCTCTTTAGAACTCCACAAGCACCTGCATGCACATGATGCATATACACACAGAACACAAACACACACACACACACAGGGATTGGGGTGCTGAGTAGAGTATGCTCAAACCTTGAGGATACCAGTTATGTGTATCCCACCACTCAGGTAAGAACATCAGAGTTAAGGCCAACCTCTACTAGATAGAGAATACATAGGTAGTTTTGAGTCACATTAGATTTGGTTTGGGCATAAATATATTTATGTAACAAACAAAAATCCTAAAACGAAGGGCTGGAAAGATGGCTGAATATCAGTGAAGATAGGAAGATTAGAATTTCAAGGTCATCCTTGGCTCTCATCAAACTGAAAACAGATGAGAGCCTGTCCCTCAGAGAGAGAGAGAGAGAGAGAGAGAGAGACAGAGAGAGAGAGAGAGAGAAAAAGGGGGGAGAGAGATTAATATAAGGGACATAAAGTGTTCTAAATTTAAGATCTTTTTATGTGTGCATGGCTTTTAATCCCAGCAGCACTCAAGAGGCAGATGAATCTCTTAGTTTAAGGCCAGCTTGGTCTATAGAGGGAGTTCCAGGACATCCAGGGCTACACAGAAAAACTCTGTCTGGAAAAACCATAAACCAACCAACCAAACAAAAAGATCTTGTTATCTATTGGTGTTTATACTAAGGTGGTGCATGTGTACCACAGCACTCACATAAAGGTCAGAGGACAACTCTGTGAAGTTTATTCTTTCTTTCTTTCTTTCTTTCTCCCTTCCTTCCTTTACTTGGGTTCCAGGGATCAAAGTCAGGTCATGAAGTAGCACAGCAAACCCTTTAGTCAATGAGCCATTTCATTAGGCATAAGATCTTTTAGACCTACAACTCAGAGTAAAAATTCACACATAATACACAAAACCAAAAAGGGAAAAGTACCATAAACCCTTTGTTTGGAAACATAAAGGTTCAAAATCAGGAACAGACAAAAGCACTGCAAGTGACTAGCATGAGAAACAGGAATGGATGTGTACAAAGAGAATCATTTTCATTTAAAGTCTTATTCATTTTGTAAAAGCCTATTACTCAGGCCCATCGCCAAATATTTCAAAAAAAAAAAAAATCTATTCCCAACAAAAGGAATTAGATTTCTCAACATGTAGCTAAACATATGGATGACAAATGTGACACTGACATTCTGATTAGGTTACCTCCAAAACAGAAATGCAATCTAACCTCAAATTAAAACCAGTAATGGCTTTCTAATTGGGGGGAAAATCACGGGAAGTTTACATTTTTGATGACAGTGTCTGGGAGTTTTTGGTTAGGTTTTTTTGTTCCTATAAGATTTTATTTTAGTGCTTTTCAGTCATGTGTATATGTGTATCTGTGTGGGAGTATATGCAAGTGCAGATACCTACAGAGTCCGGAAGAAGGTATCAGATCCCTTGGAGCTAGAGTTGTAGGTGCTGGAAGCCAAACTCGTGTCTTGCACTCTTAACCTTTGAGCCATCTCTGCAGCCTTGTTTGTTTCAGAAACAGCCTTACTATTTTATAGTCCAGGTTGGTAAAGAATCTAGTGTAACTCAGGCTGGCCTTGAATTTGTAACAATACTCTACCTAAGCCTCTTGAGTGCTGGGCTTACAACTGTACGACACTGTACCGGATTAAAAGTGTGAGTGAGTGAGTGTGAGTGTGTATGTGATGGATTTCCTCATATTTTTTTTTTAAAGACAGGGTCTCACTATGCAGCTGGCTTCATATTAAAGTAGATCTACCGCTACCTCCCGAGTGACAGGATTAAAGATATGGACCACCACACCCAGACAAAAGAGAATTCTTTTTTTATTTTTTCTTCCTTTCTTTGAGACAGGATTTCTCTGTGTAGCCCTGACTGTCCTCAAACTCACAGAGATCCACCTGCCTCTGCATCCCAAGTGCTGTGATTAAAGGGCAGCATCACCACCACTAAGCCAAAACACAATTCGTACAAGAAACTCTTAGGAGCTAGAGATAGCTCAGTGACTATGATCAACTGCCATGCAACCATGACGACCTAAGTTTGCTACTAGCACCCATGTAACAAACTAGGCATACTTTCACATGTACCTGTAATCCTGATCCTGTGGGAAGCAGAGACAGGAGGACTTCTAGGGCTTGAAGGCTTCCAGCCTAGTTGAAAAAACTAAGTTCAGGTTCAAGAACTTAGTTTTCAAGACTCTGCCTTAAAGAAGTGGTTCTCAGCCTAATACTGCAACCCTTTAATACAGTTCCTTATGTTGTGTGACTCCCAACCATCAGATTATTTAATTGCTACTTCATAACTGTAATTTTGCTACTGTTATATAAACTGTAATGTACATATGATATGTAGGATATCTGAAATGCAATCCCTGTGGGGATGAGACCCACAAGGTTGAAAACTACTGGAGTAAGGCAGAGTGTAATAGATAGGGACACTCAATGCCCTCCTCAGGACTCCAAACGTACACAGCTACACACATGCACACACTAGAAACGTTAGGGGCCAGGCATACATTTGTATGCCTATGCAAGTCTGAATCCACTAAAGACAGGGCTGGGGATATAGTTCAGCTTTGCCGTATGTGACAATTACTATTCATTGTCAACACGATCTAGAATCACCTGGAAGATGGGTGTCTGGCTGTGCCTGTGATGGATTATCTTGTTAAAGTTAACTGATATGGGAAAAACATTCACTGGGTAGAAAACCCACACTATATAGAATGCAGAAAGGAGTGAGCACAAACATTTATTGCATTGCTCTTGATTGTTGATACAGTGTGATTAAGCCTCTCTCATGCTCCTTAATTGTGACTTCCCTACTATGATAACACTCTAACCTAGAACTATGAGCCAAAACAAGTCTTTTATCCTTGAAGTTGCTTTGCCAAAGTATTTAATCCCAGTAAAAATAAAAGACACTAAGACAACACACAAGCCAAGTGTAAAAACCCTGAATTCAAATCCTCAGAACCCATGCAAAAACTGTGCAATGTATTGAGTCTGTAATTTCAATGTTTCTATGGTACGATGAAGAGATGAAGAAACTTGACCAGCTAGCCTGACATACATAGTAGAGAACATGAAGTAGTAGACCCTGCCTCAAACAAGGTGGAAGACGAAGACCAACACCCAAGGGTGTCCTCTGACCTCTATATGCACACACGCTGCATGTATGTACAAACACAAAGTCTGAGGCTAGCTTGATCTAAATAGAGAATCTGAGGCCAGCCATAAAGCAAGATCCTGCCTTAAAAGTTGTAACTGATTAATCTATGAATAAATAGATCGATAAATGGTGGTTGGTACACACCTGTAATTAAAACATTCAAGGAAGCAATAGCAGGAGGATCACATCATAATCCAGGGCATTCAGGGACATAAAGCAAAAATCTTGTCTCAAAAAGCCCCCAAAACAAACAAACAAAATAGGGGATGGTGGTGATGGTGGGACCTGGGGAGATGATTCCATTGTTAAAGTGGCTATCAAAAAAATATTAAGGACCCCAGGGCAATCTCTAGTATCCACTTAAAAAACTGGATGCAGTGGCCTTTTCTTGTAATCCCAGGTTGGTGGATAACAGAAGATCTATGGAGACAGAAGACCAGTGAACCCCAGGCCTTGGCCTCCATACACACATATAAAAGCACTCCAGAGGACCCACTTGTTTGTTTTGACAGAGTCTCTCACTATGTAGTCCTAGGTTGGCCTGGAATCAGAAAGGCCCATCTGCTTTTGCCTCTCAGGTGCTGAGACTAAAAGTATGGACAGCACACTGAACTCCATGTTTTCTAACACAATAAAATTCTGTGGTTGCTGTGACTTTTGAGTTAAGATGCCTTTATTATTTTTGAATTTTCTGTTTTATTAGTTTCAAATGCCCAGCACCCACATAGTGTCTCACAACCATCTGTAACTCTAGTTACATCTCTAACAATACAACATCTGACACTTTCTTCTGACTTCCATGGACAGTACAATACAGTACACAGACACACATGTAGACAGCACACCAATACACATAAAGATAAATCTTTTTTAAAAATCGAGTAAATAAAAAAAATTAAATATAAACCAGGAATATGGATCAATAGAAAAGTGGTTGCCTAGCAGTGCAAAAAATTATTTTTTAGGCTATAGTGAAAAATCTGGGGCTGGAGAGATGGCTCAGTGGTTAAAAGCACTGAATGCTCTGGCAGAGGTTCTGAGTTCAATTCCCAGCAAACATACGGTGAATAACAACCATCTGTAATAGGATCTGATGCCCTCTTCTGGTGTGTCTGAAGACAGCTACAGTGTACTCATATATACAAAATAAATAAATCTTAAAAAAAAGAAAAGAAAAGAAAAGAAAAGAAAAATCTGCTGGGCATAGTGGCTCATGCCTCTGGTGCAAGCACTGAGAAGCAGAGGCTGGTAGATCTTTGAGTGCAAGGCGTCCTGATCTACAAAGCAAGTATCAGGACAGTCAGGGCTATTACACACAGAAAAAATTATTTAAAATTCTTTTTTTTTTTTTTAAAGATTTATTTATTTATTATATATGAATACACTGTAGCTGTCTTCAGACACACCAGAAGAGGGCATCAGATCTCATTACAGATGGTTGTGAGCCACCATGTGGTTGCTGGGATTTGAACTCAGGACCTCTGGAAGTGCAGTCAGTGCTCTTAACCACTGAGCCATCTCTCCAGCCCCCTATTTAAAATTCTTAATTTCATGAATCACCAACCTCTGTTCAATTTCCTCATGAGAGGACCTTGTACAAACCAAGCACTACTAACTACCACTGAGCTATATCTCAACTGTTCTGCTCAATTTCTAAGACAAGTATTGGCCTCACCTTGCTTAAAGCATACAAATCCAGGATTTTTCTCTCCACCACAGGGATCTTCAATGTAGAGCCTTGAAGTTCCCAAAATTTTGCCAGTTGATCCAAGAAGTCCAATCTTACTCTAGTCATTGCCTAAAATGATTAAAATACAGATATCAAAAAACATAGGGCTGGGGATAAAGCAGGGGGCTGGTGATGATGAATGGTTCTGAGTGTTGAACTCAGTTGGCTGAGTTGTTCGGCTGTTTGAAAAGATTTAATAAACAGTCTTAGCAGGCTTGGACACAAAAACAGCAAAAGAAATGGAGTTTCTACTATGTAAGCACAATCATAACTGTTAATAATGGTAGAGTATATCCAGCTGGAACACTTCAACACCTTACTGACCAACAAAAGCTAAAACCATTTTGCTACCTTTGCTTCCAATCCAGAGAAAAGTATCCTTGCCTAAATTACCCCTACCTCAACTCCATCTTCTACCCCATCATCCTGTCTGTGATGGCTGTCTCTCTTATTCTCACTTTAAGTTATCCTTTTCAATAAAGTTCTTTGCTAGATGTTAAAAGAAAGCCTCAGTTGAGCAGTGATGGCACACACCTATAATCCTAGCACTCTGGAGGCAAAGGAAGGTAAATCTCTGGGTCCAAGTCCAACCCGGTCTGCAGAGTGAGTTTCAGGATAGCCAGGGCTACAAAGAGAAACCCAGTCTCAGTAAAAAACAAAACAAAAAGAAAAGAAAAGAAAAAAAAAAAAGAAAGTTTCTCCTTCCATTTAAGTTCTGCTATGTTCTTCTTGGTTGTTTTTGGTTTTTGACTCTGTATGGGTGTAGTATGCCTACAGATACTGGAAGAGGACATCTGATCCCCCTGGAACTGGAGATTCAGAGGGTAGTCAAACACCATGTAGATGCTGGGATTCCAACTCAGGACCTCTGAAAGAAATGTTGAGTCATCTTTCCAGCCGCTGTAAAGCTATCTTAAATGTAATTCTGTTTCTTTCTAATACTCTCCTACCGGAAGGCACAATCCTGGTCTATAGGTCCTTCTCCTAATAAACTTCATTTCCATAGAGTAATTATTTGCCAGCTTCTCTTCTGAACCAACCACTGTTGCCTCCATTTTTATAGCTAACGATATGAAGATATCATAATGAAATCCGTTGTTTTGTATGATATCTAACATACATATAATTAGGAGAAAAAATTGCAAGTTTGGAGCTGGGCATCATAGCAAGAACCTTTTGTAACCCCAGCATACTCAGGAGGCTGAGACAGAAGAACTGCCATGAGTTCAAAGCTAGCCTGGGCTACATAGTAAATTCTAGACCAGACCACTTATTAGCTACAAAGAAAGACTGTCTCAAGTAGATGGGAGGGTGGAAGAGGGCTGGGGAAATAGCTCAGCTGGTGGAGCACGTGCCTAGCTTCCTGAACTCAGAATTCTAGCCCCAGCATCATATAAACTGGGCATGATGGTGCACACCTGTGACTCCAACACACAGGAGGTAGAAGCAGGAAGATTTAGGGGGTCCAAGTAGTCATGGACTATACATCAAGCTAACTGACATCTTGGGCCACCTAAGACTCTGCTTTTAAAAAATGAAGGAAGCGGGGCTGGAGAGATGGCTCAGTGGTTAAGAGCACTGACTGCACTTCCAGAGGTCCTGAGTTCAAATCCCAGCAACCACATGGTGGCTCACAACCATCTGTAATGAGATCTGATGCCCTCTTCTGGTGTGTCTGAAGACAGCTACAGTGTATTCATATATAATAAATAAATAAATCTTTAAAAAAAAAAATGAAGGAAGGAAAGAAGAAAGGGAGGGAGGAAGGGATTTCCACATTTCTAAAGGTAAGCACTAGAATTTCCACTAAGAAAATATGTTAAAAAATAGTTTTCTATTATCCCATTAAGTGAAGAAGCAAAGAAAAAAAAATGTAGTAACTACTTCAAACAGTCTTAAAAGACACCTTTCTCAAATATCAAGTAACTATTATTCATTAACTCTCATTTAACACAAACTCTGGGTCCTGGTACGTAAGCTTTTCAATGTTCTCTATCTAAAATCCTAAGATTTTAATAATAAAAGTAAATTAAGTTTTGGCAAAAAATAAAATCCTAAGGTAAGCCATCAGGAGGCTGGAGCTATATAAAGCCACAGCAGAGCATTTGCTTAGTCTGTGTGAAGCTCTGAGTCCCAAACACCATCACCTCTAGGGAAAAAAAACAAAACAGAAAGCAGAAATGCTGGTCTAATACTCACCTCAAGTTCATTCAGGCGCTGGACTCTGGGAGTGAAACGGAAGGTTTTTACTTCACAGGCAAATGGAGGTTGCCAATCCTAAATAGAAAGAATTATTCTGGTCATTTAGCATGTAGCTGTAACAAATCATAGTGACAATACAATAGCATATGCAAGTCTTCACTATAGAGACAAAAAAATGCAATGTTCTTATAGTTTCCATTTTAATATTACTTGGAAAAACAATTCTCAAGTCTCACCATCCCACAATATAAAACTATACTCCCCAAGGTTATCCAGGAAGAATACAATGAGCTTGTCAAATGCAAAACAGTGTCCAATAAACACACAAGTTTACCAAGTAAAACTTTAAAAAAAAAAATCCACTGACTGAGTACTCCCTAAATAGAGGCAGGAGACTAAGGGTTCCAAATCAGTCTAGACTAGACAGCTTGACCATCTTACCAACAAGGACAAAACATCAGAGTGCTTGCTAGGAAAGAAAACCATACTGCAGAACGTCTGCAGCCACATATTGGTTCTACTTTAACAGGGATCGCATCTAAAAACATCCAGGTGACCCTGGTGCTGATTTTTCAGCAACATTTGGACAAGGTTTTTCTCCCATGTTACTGAGGATGGAGGCCTGGGCCCTGCAGCACTCTCCCACACCAACAACATTATTTGGAAAGCACCTATTAAAAAAAAAAAAAAACCCTTTTGACCTTGAGCATATCACTTAACCTCCTAGGGAATTAATTCCACTCATTACGGGGTATCATTTGCTTTTCTAACCTTAAAAAGTGAGGGTAATTAACCAATTTATAGGCAAACTTGATTATTTATATTACAGTTCGGGAATCTTTGTCCCTTACATTCTTATATCTAGAGATTTCAACAGTTTCTTCCATCCCTATTTATTGGCCAACTCTTTCTAAACATCAACATTTTTAAAAATAACTAATTAATCCTCTTTATCTTCCTCTAGGATGCCTTTCTTGTTGCAGTAATAATTAGCGTGGGGGTTCTAGCCTAAGTGACACCACCCTGGAGACAACCTGACTTCGGATTACATTTTCAGAAACCTGACTAGTGGCCTGCGAAGGTTTGATAAACTGAGCATTAGCAGGCTTGGACACAGAAACAGTCCCCAGAAGTGCGTTTTTTAAAAACTACGCAAACAGAAAGATTATGCATGAGCGAACGACAAGAAACTTCAAACGGCTTTCCCTAGGAAGGGCCTGAAGCCTTTCGTTATCCTTTCCTCCAATCCTCACGACAATATCCGTGCCTAAATCAATTCCGGAAGGAAAAGGTCCCAGAGATAACTCTTTCTTTTGACGGTACACCTGAGAGCTGGTGGGATGGCTCAGTCGTAAGGCCCAAGCCTGACAATCTGAGGTGGAGCCCTGAGACCCACAACCCACAACGCAGGAGAGAATCGACTCCGACAAAATGTCCTCTGACCTCTCCGCGAGCGCACACACGGACACAATAAAATAGAAATGTGAAAGTGGACGTGAAACTGGGTTCAGAAACCAGGGCAAAACAGCCTCAAAAGTAGCCTCGGGATGGCAAGAGATGAGGGAGGGCCCCACGAGAGCACAGAAGAACCGAAACAGGAGAGTTTGAGCAAGAGTAACGACCCTCCCGGCCGCCCCAACACGCCCCCCCACCCCCGCCCTCAGGCTCCGCTACCTTGGGTGGACGGATTTTGCAGATGCCAGTTTTCTCAGCCAAAGGCCGGATGCGACCGATAAAACCTAGCGGGTCTGTGAACTCCTCCCAACTGGGCTCAAAGACCGGGCACTCGGGCGGCGGCACGAACTCCGCCGCGTAGCCCCCCGGGCCCACGCCCGCCATGGTAAAAGCCAGGGGGGCCCTGAGGTGCACAAGCGGGGAAAGGCTGGCTGACGGCCACCAAGCCCTCTCACGTTCCCTCACAGGAGCCGCAGCGCATCTTCTTAGGAGAGAACTAGTCCTCACAGAAGACGCAGAAGCGCTTCCTCCGGTCGTTTGTTATTGTTTCCTTCAGGGCTTTTCCTCTCAGGGACAGGACGCTTCCGGAAGTTAACGTACTGCTAAATCCGTCCGCCACGGCAGGAAACAAAATCCCACCGTCGCCACGTCTAGTCCGGTCTTGTCTCCGTCCTCCCTTCCATGACAGCCGGCGTGCCCCTTTTCCTCAGCTTGCCCGTCAAAGTTCTGCGCTCTCCGTCAACTCCGGGTGCGTGGTCCCTGAAGGCTCCGCGACCTCTCCTCGAGGAGAGGCGAGGGAGAAGCAATCCCGCAAGGTGGAACGCGCTCTTCCGGCGCGCGGAGGAATGTGTAATGCCTCAGAGAGCAAAGGGACTGCTTCCGGTGAGGTGGTTCCTGTTCCTCTTTGTGTGGTGGGGACACGAAAACAAGGTGGCTCCCCCTGTAGCTGGTCTACCTTGTTTGTCCTCCGAGACCTGTTCAGACACTATTGTCTACTTTTGGACAAGTAACTAACCCTTGGTAGACTTTCCGTGTCTCTGTTTTCTTCTTTCAAATGCTAGTCCTGTACGAATAACTTCATTCGGTCGCTTTCATACGGGTCTCTGGCTTCTCTGTGACCAATTGGTTTCAGCCCTATTCCGTCATTACATGGGCCGGCCTTAACCACCAGCTGCGAATTGCTTGTTTCCTCACCACACAGGGAGCTATCTAGCTCCTGGCCTTGCTTTCTAGCTGTTGGCAGTCATTCCGAAACCTTATTGGAGAAGTAAGCAGGACCTGAAACCCCCTGCCTTTTTTTTTTTTAACCCCTTTTTCAGTTTGCGATGAAACCGGCCACCTTGTCAGAAACCTCTACGTGTAAGGCCGGTTGCTCACGCATAAAGTTCCAATCAGCAAGGGCTGTTAAGAAAAAAAAAAAAAAAGTCCACGTTTCTGGTATACGCTCCTTAAATTCAATTCCTATATGCGTTTAAGCCTGACTCTACAAGGTCGAAGGCAAGAACGGGTTCCAAAAGTTATCCTGTGCCCTCCACATCCATACGCCCACAAGTAATGATAGACGGTTTAGGGGCAGTCCGAGCTGCGTATGAATTTGAGGCCTGATTAGGCTACAGGAGGCCTTGTCTAAAATAAAGAAAATCCCTCTGTGGTGGCACAGGACTGTAACTCAATTCTGGGGAAGGAGATGTAGAAGGAGCACCATAAGGTCTACCTGGGATGCATAATCGAGTTCCAGAACAGTCAAGAATACATGGTAAAGGCCAGAACAGTGGAACTTGCCACCAAAGCTGGAACCTGAGTTTGATTCTGGAACCAACATGGTTAAAGGAGAGAATTCCTGAAAGATGTCATCAGACCGTCACACGGGTCGCACACATACGTATACATAGTCACACATTAAGTAAACAAAAGGGGTAGGGGAGACTACGAGATAAAACCCTGTCGTCCCCCCCCCGCCCAAAAAAAAGGTTCTATTCTGTTAGTCAAAAAAATGGCCCGAGATCAGGAATGCAAGGAAATGAACTCAGGCTAGTTTGTTCAGTTACTTTCTGTACTAACAATTGAACCCCCAAGTCCTTGAACGTATTAGGCAAATGTGCTCCAATCTAGTCTCCATTTCTTGCTTAAAGGGAAAAAAAAGTGCTATAAAAAGAAAGAAAAATGGACACAGGAAGATATGATGAATTATATACAATTACTAAAATAATTTATAATAAGACTTAGGTCGTTTAGTACTTAATCTGAAAATAAACAAACTGCACATAAAAAGAGAAATAGTAAAATTCAAAAGACTTTTTTTTATTAATCTTGTGTTTGTTTTTCATGTCTGTTTGTTTTTCCAGACAGAGTTTCTCTATATAGCCTTGGCTGTCCTAGAACTCTTTTCGTAGATCAGACTGGCTTCAAACACACAAAGATCCACCTGTCTCTGCCTTCCAAGTGCTGGTATCAAAGGTATGCACTACTATTGCCTGACATACTTAAAATTTTAAAACTCATCAAAATAATTTTTTATTACATATGCAATCAAAATATAGTGTTATTTGGCTGGGGATTAAAGCGCTAGGTTTGATCCCTAACACCACATAAACCACGTGTAAGAGAGTGAACCTGCAAACCCAGCACTTAGGGGATGGAGACAGAAGGATCACAATTCCAAGATCACCCTCAGCTATCTGTGTCAAGGCTTCCCTGGGATAAAAAAATGACAACAAAAAAAGCAATTTTTGAGGAAAAAAATAATTCATTTCACGTAAATTGAGGAAAAATACATTCCAAGTACCACATATTTATCTGTAATTTATCAGTGTTAGAGCAGAAATTAATACCTATATCTGGTAATTATTTGGCAAGGCTATGAAATATGGCCTCTGATATGTTTCATTTTACTTTTGAGCCAAGGTGTCTCTATGTTTCATCTAGGTTATTATTGTACTGGACACAAATGATCTTCCTGTCTAGGCCTCTCCGGTATCTGGAACTACAAGTATATACCACTTCTAAATTTATTTTTTAATATCACAAAATCTCACACCAGAGTAACAAGAGTGAGCAAATCTCATTGAATGAAAAAGGTTAAAAAATAGTGAATTTCTAGAGGAATGCCTTTTAGTTTTAACAGTAGCAGGGTTGTTTTATTTTGCAATACTAGGGTTGAACCCAGGGCTTCACCTGTAGATACTGCCCCTGAGCAGGGAATAGAATGCTGTGTGTAGGTATAGAGTTTCGTGGCACAGAGCACATGTAGAATTCACAGGAACACCTGCTGGAGTCAGTCCTCTCTTTTTGCCATGTGGGCTCCAGCAATTGATTCATCAGGCTTGTCAGCAAGTGCCTTCATTGGCTAAGCCATCTCAGCAGCCCCTTATCCTTTGCTATAAACTTTACTTTTAATACAGGGTCTCACTAAGTTGCCCTGTGTGCTATCTTTAAACTGAATTCTCCTTCCTTAGTTTCCATACCAGGTTTGTCCTCAAACATTTTGTTAACAGCCCATTGTAGCTGGGTGGTGGAGGCCTTTAATATACCAGCACTTAGAAGGCAGAGGCAGGCAGATATCTGAGCACATTGGCAGTCTAGTCTACAGAGTGAGTTCCAGGACAGCAGGCTACATAGAGAAACACTGTAAAACAAACAAACAAACAAACAAAAAGCCCATAATAAGGGATAGAGAAATGGCTCTATCCCCTCACCGGTCAGTAGCACTTTCTGCTCTTTCAGAAGACCTGAGTTCAGATCACATCAATCACGTTGAGTGGCTCACAACTGTCTGTAACCACAGTGCCAGGAGATCTAATGCTCAATTTAAACTTGTGATGGCACATACACATGTAGCATATGCACACATATATACATTTTTAAAGATCTCACTGTAGTTTAGCCAGACCTGGTAATCTGACCTCACTGTACTTCAGCCAGACCTGGTAATCTGGCATTCAGACTCATCCTCTGCTACATACTAAACACAAGATCAGCTTGGGCTACATGAAATCTTGTCTCAAGTCAAAATAACATGAATACATTTAAAAATTATTGACAGATCCAAAAATTTTTACTTACATAGATTGCACATATGGATATTTGTATTTTCCATATAGTAGCAATTAAAGCTAACAAACTTGGCATGGCAGACTATCCCATAATTCCAGCAGAGCAACACCTAAGATATGAGAATCAAGGGTTCAAGACCAGCTTGGAATACACAGTTTAAGGTTCCTCTTCCTCCTTTTTAAAAATTGGAAATGTATAGGAATGGGAGAGTCATGCTTTTTAAATTAGTAATTATGCTATACTTTACACCATAATACTAGCGTTTTAGATTTATCTTATGTTTATGAGTGTTTTGTCTGCATGTATGTATGTGCCTAGTGCCCAAGGAGGCAGGAAGACCAGAACTTGTCTACAGGCAAGAGATTGCATATTCAAATGCTATGTCAGCCAGTCTCATTTAAACATCAGGAGGATAGATGAGGAGCTGAGAGTGGTGGCTCGTGACTTAAACCCAACACTAGTCAGGAAACGCTGTCTCAGTAACAAAGGAGGATATATGAAAGGATTAATTCTGCAATGTATAGTATCATTGCCTTAAACTTTGGAAAGCTTGAAAATTGAAGCTTTCATGCCTACATCAACTTCAGTGGCTCACTGATAAGTGTACACAATTTTTTTCAACTTGCTATTTCAAATAACATTGATTTTCCTATTAACATCATAGGAAATGAGAAGAAGAACCTTTATAGTTTTTCCTTCTTTGTTATTCTGTTGTGGTTAGTCCCTGGGAAATTCCTGGAGTCAGGCTTAGGTGGGGAGTATAGTTCAGTTGTAGAATACTTGTTTACCATTAAGTAACCATGATTCCTGAAGCCTGAGTTCAGTCCCAGGTTGTATCCAACGAATGAGCAAACAAGCAAATAGCCATTAAAATGTGTTTTGGGTCAGGATTGATGGGTTATACCTTTTTGTTTGTTTGTCTGTTTTGTTTGTTGTTTGTTTAAAGGTTTCTCTGTGTAGTCCTGCCCTAGAACTTGCTGTGTAGACCAGGCTGGCCACCTCTGCCTCCCATACACTGGGCTTATGCCTTGAGTCCCAGAATTTGAGACACAGATGCAAGAGGATCTCTGTGAGTTCCAGGCTAGCCTGCTCTACATAGCAAGATCCAAGCTAACCTGGATATTTTTGAGTCAGGGCCTTAGGTAACACATGCTTCTAAATTGCTATTTGGCCTGGAGTGACCTTAAACTTCCCATCATTTTTACTACCCTTCCCATGTATTGAAATCACAGGCTTGTACGACTCCGTAGGATTTGTGGAACTTTTCTTAGACTCACTTGGAACAAACTAAAGGCTCACTTGAAACAAATGACAATGTGTACAAGATACTCTGGGGGGGGGGGGGGTCCTGTCATCTGCTCGTGATTATGTATGTCATTTGTGCAACAGATTTCATTAAAGGAAAATAGTTACATCAGTTCATACTGAGTTGTCAAAATGGGTGAGTTTCAACAGTCAAGGGATACTTACCTCCCCCACCCCACTCTAGCCCCCCCCTTCTGTCTTTGCGCAAGGACGTGTGCAGAAGAGAAACTACACTTCCCAGGAACCTCTGCCGGCGAGGCGCAAGGCAAGATGGGAAGTGCTGGTGAACAACCGTCCTATTGGTGTGCAATCTAAAAGGCCGCCTAAGCTCGTGAGCGATTGGTAGGATTTTGTAATCACTCGCTGATTTGAGTTGTTTTTCGGTTGCGTTGTCGGACAGCTGGGCTTAGCACTTGGTGAGTGTGGATTTCGGGGAAATGGTAAAAGGTTTTAGGACAGAGATTGGGAAGTAAATCTGGTGGGATAAAAACCTT